CTCAGCTGCCATGAGAGACCCTGGAAAACAAAGAGGCCTATGACAGACCACCTGCTCAGAGAGGATTGTGGGTATGAGCTACTGTACACTAAACAGCTGAACCAGGAGCAGTGAGCGAGGGTCCCGAGGGGAGAAGGGGATGTGGGCCGGTCCAGATGAGGCGGTGGAGTGGAAATGGTCTGCAGAGGTCGTGACTGTTTGTGGCATATCTGCTCCCCAGATCCTGATGGACAGTGGTCAAGTCTGCGCTCAGTACATAAATACTCCACGCTACATTAGCTGCCAAAGCCTTTCCATATGTTGTTTGCAGAAGGCCTCTATGGTTCTTAAACCCCAATCCCATCTGGTTCTTTCCAGGTCAGCTCGTCCAAGACTTCACACACGTTCCCTGACATGGACCTGCTTTCTGCTCCAGCAGAGGGGAGAGTGCCAGGCCCTCTGTTCTGCTGTGGTTTACATACCCAACCTAGCATGTCGCAAACGCTACTTACACCAACACACTGCAAGAAATGACCACGGTCAGAAGAGTGTCAAATCAAAACTTATTTAGAGGAGACTTTCAGCTCCTGTTCGGTCTCTCACAGGTGTGTGTGTGTGTGTCTGTGTGTGTTTAAACATCATGAAACAGGAATCTGCAGATCTTTCCACTGACGTCTCAAGAGAAACGACACTAGATTCAAGTTTACTCAAGCTGGTTGTAATTGAAAACAAGTAACATAATCTCATCCCCGCGGCGGTTTCCTCTTGTTAAAGGAAAACAATGAGAGCAAGAAAGTCCTCAGAGGTCGATTCGTCCACCTTTGATCTGAGGAGACTGAATATCTGGATTGGTTTTCCTTACAGTGAAGATGGCGGAAAGAAACTGTAGGAAGGCAGAAGGTCATGGCGCTGCAGAGAGAGGAGAGAAGAGGCCCCCGAAAATCCTAAACTAGGACTGGATAGTTGCTAACCAGAGAAATTCTTGGTCGACTGAAACTCTGAAATTTTTGACCAAAAATCAACTAATGGAGGGAGATTTCCAACTGACGGCAAACAACTCTACGGGGAGGGACGACGTGGCTCAACGAAGCCCGGCGTGTGAAAATATACAAATTACTGTTTGCAAATTTTGCTATCGACTTTTTTAACGCTATCTATATCGGTAAAATTCTGCCACACTGCCGATGTCTTTGACATGGATGGTAGCGGAGGACTCATGAAAATTGCAATGTTAAAAATGAAAATAACTATCCACAATTGATTAATGTGGACAGCCGTAAGTCTTCCCGTCTCCAGTCGGTCTCCAGTGGGTTGGACATGGAAAAAAATGTAGTCAACCAATCAGAATTTTGGTCGACTCAGCACGTATCGACCAGAGACTGTTTATACTATGGACAACTTGATTCCACCTTCTGCCAGTATACAGATTTGAAGCCGGAAAGCTCTCGGTAATTCCGCGATCTTTCCTCATTTCCTGAAACCAACATTGCACAGTAGCGTTGAATGCACTTCACCACTTGCGCAGTAGTATTGTACGCATTCAGCAGGAGAGTCGCTGTGATGAAGCTCCGCTCAAACAGCGTGAGCTACGGAATCCGTAAATGAACCCTCTTATAACTTTTAAAAATGGAGCTGTACAGAAAGAAGAGGACTTGAGCACAAACCAGTCTGACAGTGACTACATGTCAACATCACAACCCGGGGGAGAAACATTTATATTCTGTGTCATTCATTTATAAAGTTTGTCCACAGCTCCATAGGGCTTGCTGGAGTAGGCGGAATTTATGACCTATACTGCAGCCCGTCACCAGAGGGTGCTGTTCTCAGAGTGGCCTAACCCAGCAAGGAGGCGTCCATTCTGTGTACAGTCTATGGTATCGACCAATAAGTCGACTGGGACTTTGCAGCCCTAAGATGGGACTTGTGTTGCTGCGACTGTGTGTAGCTGAAATGCGCCTCACATATCTGGTTGTCTGCTGTAACTGTTGTGATTAACATCCGCTGTCATCTGTATGTCGGGCTTCTGTTCTTCCTCTCCTGTAAATCATGTTTCCCCCCTTTTCCAAAAGGAAATACAGATTTGATTCTAATAGTTTGAAGCTGTGGAAAGTGAATTCCTTCCTGATTCTAGCGCCACTCCACTGAACCTGAATGTTTGTGAGAAAACAGTTTGTACATGTCTGCACGGCTGCAGGAGTTTTCTGTAAATCAGTGTTTTGTATCTTTGCACTCCTGGGGCTCGGTCGGGGGGGAGAGGCCCCCTTCCTGCTGCTCTTGTCCCAAGGCCAGTCGGCTGTGGCTGTGCTCTGCTCTGTGATTCAGGTAGAGGCCCATCAGGGAGCCCTGTGCAGAGGCCAGCATGGCGGGGTCTAAGGCTGAGACGAGTGAGCCAGGAGGGAAATGGAGGTCACGGAGGAGGGCCTCTGTGCTTTACGAGCTCAGCCTTGCTTACCTCCGCTCTGCCCGCCTGGCAGATAAATGATGATAGAGCAGAAAAATACGGGAGGCTGGCTAATATATGTTAGCCTGTCTACAAGAATAGTACAACAGCCTCGCTCCACCTCCTCAATGTGTGGTCCCTGAAACAACTGTCAGCTGAAGAAAAAGCTGGAGGAGGAGAAGAAGAAGAAAGAGGAGGAGTAAAACCCCCAGCTGCAGCCAGCTTGAAATGTATGGGACTCGAATCTGAGGACGAAGGGGCCTAAAGGACCGATGCATGTACAAATAAGAGCGAGTCAACATGGTCTGAGGACACCTGAGCTACACATAAACACAGTGGCTGCACGGCGCTGTGGAAATAGAGGAAAGAAAAGAAAATCAGAGTCTCATTAGATGATAAGTGGAAACACACATCCTCACTGTAAGCCAACACAGACTATTTTTCTCATCCAGAGCCTGAATCATCTGCTGTTAAGCTTTAGTAACACATTCCAGTACAGGTGGTCCACTGAAATGAGAGGCTGCTTTGCTTTCAACAATGCCAGTGGTAATGACTGATCTAATCATAGGGCACGCTCACGAAACCCACCTGTTTTGCCAGCTTTGCTCTTACATAAAGAGAAGTGTTGCCAAGTGCTCGCAGTCTGGGCGGGTGGCACATGGTGGGGTGGCAGTAATGTGTTACACAGATCCCCATATAGTCCCAGCTATCTGGGTCTGATCCTGTTCTCTCATCTGCTGCCAAGAAAAAAAAAAGTTGCTCCAGCTCGGCCCGGCCGGATCCGCTCGATGGGGCACTGCACCTGAAAGCTTTTACTGGGTCCAGATAAGATGCAACCTTCCCTTTGTCGCCACCGTCCAAAGCATTTTGTTTTTCATCAGCTCACTTTTTCCAGTCGCCCGGTCCTCTTCCTCCCCGTTTTTTATTCTAAAAAAAGTTGTGTGCAGCCAGGCAGCAAATCAGGCAGGCAGCCAGCAGATGTGGCAGGCCTGCTGCAGAGTGCAGAGAGGATGTGCTTCACCAGTAAAGAATTTGGTCATCGTACTCCAAGAGACCAGGACTTACTGGTTCCATTAATGACAAATAACCCTCCTGCTCTCCTTTGTCACAGCCTGGACATTAAAGCCCGCTGTGCTGCTGCAGCAGCTGCGGGACGCTGACGTCATGAGCGCTGCGGCGGCCCAGCGGAACAGAATTGGGCTTAAATTATAACAAACGACTTATGAGCAGATAATGGCTTTTCTTATTACAAGTCTGAGACAACACGGAGTGGATACTGAATACAAAATCAGAACATCTCTTTTTTGGTTTGTTTGGTCTATTTTTGGAGCTTTGAACCACTTTCCACTGCATGAGCTCAGCCACATGCTAACAGGCGGTTGTGGTAAAAAGAACCAAGTTGTTCTCTTAGTTTTGATGGTAAACCAATGTTAGTATAAAAATATTATTGTGCTATTCTGACCATGTTTTTAAGTTATGAATAGAAAGACTCTTATTGGTCTTTGAGGACTCTTAATGGATTTCTGGCAGACTGCAGACGAGGATGTTTTGTGGTGATATTTGTAATGACTGGCATGTCTGTTTGGTATGCTGAGCAAACATCTTTGAAGGGAAAAGCTTAATTTGTCTTTAAAAGGTAAACCACAGAGTTAAACTTGAATTTGTCAGATCCTAATATAATACGGCATACCTACTCACTGTAAAATCTACTCAGTTTGTGAGACCGGCAGATCTACAGCAATGAACCGTCCCACGATCATATTTAGTAGGGTGACTATATTCTGACTTCCCAAAAAGAGGACACAAGTACACCGGGATGGAGTCACGGAGTCGCACAAGGTTAATTTTGGGAGTTTTTCGGGTCAGATTGAGTGTCTTTTACGCGCTTCTCCTTCTGTACAAAACTGAGGACATTTGAAAGATTTATAAACTTGCCCGGACAAGGTCGGACAGCCCCCAAAAAAGAGGACATGTCTTGGTAGAAAGGACGTATGGTCACCCTAATGTTTAGGTAATCTGTGATGTTTGCATTCATTCTCTCGCAAGCTAACTACAGAGAAAAGAGGCTGCAATTGCCATCAGCTGATCTGTGATTTATTTACACCAGACATGAATCACTTGCACCTGATTTTTTTGAAAGAGAACAAGGATTTTTTTAGCCAGGGGACAGAAAGAGGAAAAGAGCCGCCAGGAATTACTTCTGGAGTCATTCCAAGAGCAAGGTAAACTTCCAGCAGACAGCGTTAAAGATAGTAATGAATAAACAACAATGATGATTGTAAAGCTAACAGAGCTCTGGTATCAGGATAGTATCGGTATCAGCAGATATCCAAATTCAGGAATCAGATCAGACCGAATGTGAAAAAATGTGGATCAGTGTGTCCCTCCTCCTGACTGCCCCTCTGGTCTTGTTCCTGCTCTTGTTCAAACATTAATCCTCAAGTCAAATCTTTCCATTATAATGTACTTTTTGGCAGTTTTATCAACAACACAACCACCTTAAGTGTTTACTAGCTCGTCTGTGTTTCTCTGAAAGAGTTTTGAACTTCATCTGCCAGTCCACTCTGCCCTCAGAAACCATGTTGTTTTATATCGCATTTTTATTACATCTGTCTGCCTTCCAGCAGCTTTCTAAATATAGTCCTCCTCCTCCTCCTCCCCAGAAAAGCTGAACACTAAGTCCTTACTAATTAGAGTCTTCTCTTCAGTCTGGGGCTGCCTGCAGTCAGAGCAGCTTTATGGGCAGCTCCGCTCAGCTTCAGCCTCCTCTGCTGCTGCAGCTCGCAGGCCCAAACATCAGGCAAGCTGTGGGAAACGGAGTTTTTACTGGCAGCCACTAATGATGCTCACTGTTTTTCTCCTCCTTAATCTAGTCTAAACAGAGACTTTTTTCACCACGACAGAGAAACTTGCAGGAGTGGCCTACTTCAACACGGATTTGAGGATTTAGGGATTAATATCCAGACATGAATAATGCACAAACTCTGCATTTTTAAGTGTGTGTGCGTCGCCTCCATGGTGCAGAGACAGCACAATACCTCCCAGTTATGAGCAGACGACATGAATCAGCTGTGATTCGAGTCTGACAGCACGCCTCTCTGAGGGTAAATAATAACTGGCAGGTGTTTGCGTGGGACCCTGCTCGCTCTGGGAGTGATGGAATTTCTAAAAAGGCTATCTCCATTAGTTTTTTCAATAATGCATGAAGCTATGGCATCATCTTGACACCTTACACCTTTCCCTCGCAGGTCTGGCCATTAGCTCGGTCATGAGTGGAGAGCTGGAGAGACGGGCAGAGTGGAGCGACACTGGGGAGGTGGAAGCGTTGATGAATAATTTAAAGTGAATCCAGTGTAGTTTGAAAGTATTCTGCTGTCAGTCCTGCAGGCTCACTCAGTCACTCTTGGTGTGAAGAGCAGCGAGGACAGGAGACGGGACACTCACACTCACCTTTGCAGAAGGTACAAGAAGATCCTGGTTTGGATTTCCAGCTACAGCGAGGAGTCTGACTATGACTCCTTCTTTCTGCGTCCTCATCTGCTGGCTGGCTCTTCCTCTGCAAGGTAAAGACTTCCTGCTTACTTCACCAAAGACTATTCTGAGTTGGAGACATGTCAAGGCAAGCCAACGCTTCTTCTTCGATCACAAACGGCTGTCATTATTAGATCAAATTGCCAGAAGCAGGACTATAAAGCGTGATCCATCAAACAGGCTGAGGGCAGATAAATAGTGTGTTTAATTATGTGTTTTCCCCCCCAGAGCTGATGCAGACCGTTCCCAACGAGCTGTGAGGTCTTGTAAAAGTTTCAGACGACACTGACTAATAAACATCTGTCAATACTGAGTGTGTCGAGGCTGTTTGTCGTTGTGTAGAAAACAAAACAGAATTTTTTTCCCCTGCAGCAACACTAACTGACTCCTGATGTCTCATATTTCAGGTCTGGAGATACTTGATCCCGAAGAGGTGGAGTACATTCGCTCCAATACCACAGCATCAGTGGGAGGTTCAGTCACCTTTGACTGTGGTCCAACCGTACCCACCATCTTCATCTGGGGCTTCACCAAACCGGGAACTGAAAATAATGTCGCTCTGGCTTATAACTACGGACAGGGCCCGAAGCTGCAGGCTCAGTCCAGCAGCATGGGTCACATTCGGGTTCCTGAGAACACGTCAGCGTTGGTCATAGAGGAGCTGCAGAAGGAGGCGGAGGGGATGTACACCTGTCAGGCTCTGTACGACACTGACGACGGGGCCAGGATCACTTTCTACTTCACCCGGCTCGATGTGGAAGACGACTGAAGTTACGCCTCTTTAGCGATTCAGCTACGACCAGTGTTGTCATGGTGACAGTTTGTTGCGGTATCTTTTTCTAAGAACGACTCACTTCCTCTGGTTGTAACATACCATCTTCAGGTTTCTCTGACTTTACTGTTGTGGTCAAACTAAAACTTTAAGAGCTCCCCCTGGTGACCCATCAAAACTAGATCAAACTAGAAGTTGAATAGATTTTTCTCAGACATGCTTGCTGTCTTGAAAGTTCGTTCTTGTCTTGCTGATTTATGTCTAAGTTTTCACTTTCCTGACAAGTTCAGTTTGAAGGATTTTAAGGGGAACTTTAAAGAGGTTTGTGTGCACTTGACCGATGGGGGGACCGTTTTCTGAAACTGGTCCAGTATTGAGGGGGAGCGTAGCAGCCGGTGCAGGTACCAGATGTGTTGGGGCAGCCACATTGGCTTGGGCCCGGCACCTATTGATGACGTCACACTATATGATTGGCTGGAAGTTGGTTTGGATGACGTAGAAGATTGTGGTTGGTCTGGATATTAAGCAGTTTTTGCTGGATTGCAGTTCTTGTAAGAAAACATGGACGAATTTTACAAAGAAATCTACTGTAACTTATCAAAGGGGACTTACAACAGCCGGACTACCGCCTCTTTTAGGTTTCCAAAGGAGATGTGGAATAAAAGCAAAACTATTTATTGATAAACGGAGATCCAGCATACTTATTTTTTCTTTTTCCTTTAGAAAAGTTAACATCTACAATTAAAGCCATCTAAAAATTACAGTACAGTAATTCTCTGTATAATATGGGGAGAAAGTTTCAAGGTCAATTGAATGAAAAAACAGAAATAAAGAAAACCTCGAACATTTCTGGTACCTACACCGGCAGCCATGAGACGAGCTCAAATGTATTTTGACCAGGTGCGTCGTCAAACTGTATCCACTGTAAGGGCTTTATTTCGCCACCGACAGGCTCAGATTGTTGTTACAGGTCCCTTTTTTCCTCCTACACTGCTGCATTACATACTGATAGAGTCACAGTACTTTTGTGTTACCAGAAATAAAAAACCTTAAAACCTTAAGACTCTTTGTTGGTTATATCGTACAGAATGTGTGCAAGATGAACACTCTATCCATGTATGTGTCAGTAGCATCTCTTCCACCACAGACGCAGTTATAAATTTGTTAATTTCCTCCTGAGTGACACTTTTGGTTGGACTGAAATCTGTTGTCACTGTTTCAGAGCTGTCGTAGCACTAGCTGTCCTTTTTAAATCCCTCGACTTTACTGCACATCCAACACAAAAATAAGCCTCTCTATAGTCCTGCTAACTCGGTGTGTAAAAGGCTTCTGCATAAACACACTAGTGCAGCCGCCTATTTCTATTCATTAGCTGAAAAATTACAAGGCACAAATAAGATTTCACTCCCTTCTGCTGCTCTGGGATTGAGGCAAAAATAAAAAAAAACATGTTATTTAAAACTTGGCAAATAATTAGAAACAGTAGTGCTAAATATCCAGAGAGCGTGAGAGTTTTCAGCGTGTGAATGTGTCAGTCTGGAGAGCAGTGGGCTCTTTAGCACCAGACTGGACTGTTCGACACACTGAAAGACTTTGATCAGTCAAAGACTGAGCTATTGTCTCCTGCCATCTTTGTAGCCATATAAACTTACAGAGCGTGACACCGTGTGGACCTGAGGTTGTGGTTTCTGTTTCAGATACTTCACCACTTTTGTGTTGTGTTGGTTATTAGAACCATCTGGACGGCGGGTTCATTAGTCGAGGCTATTTCTTGTTTGTTTTTCTTGAAGTAAATATTGTTCATTACTGTTTCTGCTTATTTCTAATGGCCACCCGCCGCGTTGTTTGTCTTTTCTTAAGTGTGTTAGACTGTGCTCATTATTTAACCACTGTGTTTTGTCACTTTCAGCACATCCAGAGCAAACCGCTTGAGGCTGAGCGAATAGTTTCTTGGGAACGTTTTAGCTCCTTTGAAGTGACAGACACCTTGATAGAAACAGTGCGCAGAAAACAAATGTTCCCCTTAAAAATTCATGCATATAAAATAAACATCTTGTGCATAGCTGTGCAGGGATCCGGCGGTGGGTTGTGAATAAAAATGAACTCATAACTGGTTTATTTTCAGCGAGTGCGGCTCTCTGGATTTTCCTCTGACTCATGTAAACAGCTTTGTTTTTTATCCTGAAAATCAGCTCCTGTCAACAGGTTCAGTTTGTTATGATCAGACGGCTCATTATTGAACGATCGGACTCAAAAATGTTTAGTCTGTTGACAGAGACAATGGGAAGAGTTAAAGTGAAGCAGCTGGAATAAGAATGAGAGTGTTTGTCACTCCTGAAGAAGAGTGTTTGTCCGGCAGTTAAAACTAAAAATGTCGTACTTTTATGGTGGGTGTGACCTCTTTACACATTAAAGGTCCTGTATAATGAAAAACACGTTTTTTCAGTCATCCCCCAAAGAATGTGGAAGCAAAAAGGCCTCTGCATCACTTCTGTAACCCACCTGTAAGGAAAACATGGCGAGGCTGTTTGGATATGCTCCTGTGGTAATGTAATGACAGGAGTGAAATGCAAAAACCCTCACACTCTTCAAGGGAATGTGACGCTATCCTGACTCAGTGCTGCAGAGCAAGGATGACGAATAACTCAATTTTAACATACCACACTGAGACTGCTGCCAACCTCCTCCTATTCAAGTCTATTAGGGAGCAGTTCTTCTGGAGCACTCACCATTTTGGTGTTGTTCCGCCTCTGCATCTGTCTACCGCCTTACATAGTACATTGCCTCATTTAGGAACTTTGGGCCAACAAGACCTCAGCTTAGGCCCAGTTATCTGATGGTTCTTAATAATGCATCAGATTTCATATAGCACTTTATCGGAGACCCTCAAAGCACTTTACACTGGATACATCATTCATTCGCTCACACAGTCACACCTTGGTGGTAGACTGACGGAAACGTGGCTGCCAGTTTGAGCCTACAGCCTCTCTGACCACCACACAACACTCACAGTCACACACCAGTGGAGGACACACACTGGGAGCAAGGTGGATTAGGTGTCTTGCTCAAGAACACAACGGACAGACTCGGGACAGGGGGGAATCGAACCACCAACCTTCCAGTTATTGGACGACCATTCTACCACCTGAGCTACTGCTGTCCCAGGTTCTTAAGATTATCTCGTCGGACTACCAAGTCATGTAAGGTATGCTAACCATGATTCTGCTTTTCCCTATCTGCCAAAAGACCTGAAGTACCGTATTTTTCGGACTATAAGGCGCACTTAAAATCCTTAAATTTTCTCAAAAATTGACAGTGTGCCATATAATCTAGCACGCCTTATGTATGATTACTTGTTGTGATTAGTAATGTGTAAGAATGACTTCGGTAAGCAACAAAGCCATTCCGCTCAATGGATATTCCGAGCTTGCTGCTAACAGGATCTGTTAGCAGTCTTCAAGACTGCCTGGCTGACTGTAATGTCTAAACTAAAAGTGCATTCATGTAAGGCAGCCTGGGCCCAGAGTATGCGCTAGCAACAATAAACCAATCAATGCGCCAATGCTTAATGTGCCTTACAATCTGGTGTGCCTTATGTGTGAACATAGACACGTTAATCTACAGTGTGCCGTATAATCCGGTGCGCCTGATCGCCCGAAAAATACAGTACCTTTGACTGTCTGCAGCTCATCAAGAAGAATTGATTTTTGGTAATGATAACTGCTATAACACCGTGTCAGAGCATCCCTGCCCAGTCCCCATTTGGACCCCCGCATGGATAACAAGGTTAGAGGCTGCAGCTTCCCCACAGAGGCTGAATTAGAGATGTTTTTAATGTGACTGAATTTAAAACCCTGCAATGAGAACATGTTTACAACAGCTAAAAATACCATCACGTGTGACCTTCAAGACTTCAGCCAAATGAACAAAAAGTGAACATCCTCTATAGCAGAACATATAGATTTTTATCATCTTCTTCCACGTGTGTGCTCATCTTTTGGAGGACCCAGAGGAATGCTGCTGGAGTTCATCCAACCACAACATGCTTCACTTGTGGTTTGGGACATCTCAAGGATGAAACCGCCTGAGGCTGAATCAAGCGAGTTAACAACACACTGCCCGATTCATAAGAATTGCATTCATTCAGAGTGTGCTGGAGAGGGGAGAGAGTAAGAATGGTGGGCGGAGGGGAGAGGGACTGGCGTTAACAGGTCGGCTCTGCAGCAAGGGGGCAGAAATTCCAGGGCGGACAATGAGCTTTCTTGTTCCCATGGGCTCCTTAATGAAGGGGTGTAGCTGCGTGGGTAGAGGGTGCAGGGCAGGGCCGAGGCAGAGTGCCGACTGATAGACGTGGGAGATGGAGAAGCAGCTCATTTAGAGACAACCCTGCCCTTATCTTCTCCTCATCAGCACAGCCTGCATCTGTCAGCATCCCCTCTCCCTCCCTGGTCCATTTCTCTTTCCTTTCCAGCTTCATTTCCTACCCATTGTTTGTTCCTTTTTACTCATGGCAACAAAGGGAATCATAATGGACTCTGAGATGAGCTACTGCACAGAAATAAAACTAAAGAAACTGGATAAGACTTTGCTAGAGAGTGTCACAGATGCAAAACATTTAAAGCTTTCGAGGCATGGGGTCTAAAGCAGGCAAAACAGAAGTCAAGTGAATTGAACGGATGCCGCCAGTCTCAATCGACACTAAAAATATCAGCCGGAAGAGGCAGAGCCACGCCTGAGCAGCAGGCGAATAAATCCGGGTGCCAGGAATATCCCGTATAGCATCGTAGGGAAGAGAGATGCCAGACGAGCCGAGGCCTGAGGACTGGCAGCCGACGCTGGCACAAGCACAGGCAGACAGGCACCAAGTATGGAAAGCCTGCACCACAGTCATCCTCAGTGAAGCACAGCCAGCTCTGTCATCTGCCCGCCTGCAATCCCATCAACTCCAATCAGCCAGCATAGCACGGAGATTATTTTAAAACCTACTGAGGGTTTTAAGCCTCCTGAAAATGGGTTTGGCTGAAACCTGAGGAGTGTGTTGCACTGGTTTTATGAATGGAGTTATCTGCAGCTTTCTCACACATCACACACACACACACACACACACACACACACACACACACAAACACCGACTCACTTCCACTTCTATTTTGAAAACACCACTGTCCAATTTGTCCTTAACTCTACTGGCAATTGAGCCCACAATTCCCAGAAATCCTGGACTGTAATGTCATTAAACAGAGACAGATGGCTCTTCTCACTGCTTTCACAGTTTGTGTTACTTTAAGAGTTAGTTCATCCAAATTTCAATTATATACACTGTAACTTAACCCCTTATAAACACCACATAGATGACTAAACATGACACAACATATTAAAAGCTTAAGATGTAGGAGAGAGTGGGGTAAGGTGATCCATTTTTCATATTTCAGATCACTACATCAAGTCAATCCTAGGTTTGTCTCTAACTCGTGTATCTGCAGATATTTCAGGATGTTGTTCATCCTGCAAACCAACAGAATGAGTGTAAACAGAACTGTAATCTTGATAATATAGCACATAAAAAAGTGGTCTCCTATGGTCAATTTACCCTGTGACTGGGGTAAGTTGAGCCATAGGAGCGGGGTAAGTTGAGCCGTATCCCTACTACTCTGTTAACCCAGAACTACTATGATGACTTTATTAGTCCTCTTAACTCAATTGGTGGACTTTAACGTTATGTTTTTGACCTCATGTTGTAGCTCATAGATACCACAATTGATGAATGAAACAAATTTAAAATGATCTTTTTCGGTCTGAACACAATTCTAATCAAACTTGTGACTAAAGACTAAATTCACTTTCAAGAGTAAAAAATGTTTTTTTTTTTAATTAAATAAATATCAAACCCCTTCACCCATGTGCGTCTAACCTTCACAGACTCCATAAATTGATGCCCATCTCCTAAATATTTCATCACATAATCAATTTCTTTGACCATTTCCAAGAAACAGGGGGTGGATCAACTTATCCCAGTCTCCCCTATTCAGTGATCTGAACAATGAACAATATCACCTGCGTCAAAGGTTAGGCCATCACAAAAACACATCAGAACTTCGGTTAAAGCAAAATAACCGCCATTTTAAAGAGATATTGTGCTTAAAAAACATAAGGCACTACCTGAAGTGATTGATTCGTAGTCATGGTTTCCACAGGACTTAAAACGGACCGACGACGATAAAGCAGTTGCTGTTAGCTAGTTAGCTAAAACAGCTCTCTGAGGGATGACTTAGCAGTTTTTAAAAAAACGGCTTGTGAGTCTAAAAACAATTATTTTCGATTAGTTTACCAATAAAAATCACATTTTAACTTCCAAACCGCTCTAGTTACCGTTTTCATTCAGCTCGGTAACTTTACAGGAAGCGAGTGCACTTCAAAATAAAAGCATGATACTCAATCGTTTACCGAGACACTGTCTTCTCCATAAATCTTAAATCAGAAATAGATGATAGCATGTCATTCAGTGACTAAAGTTGATAAAGTAATAAGTTTCTCCACCCTAACTTTCCATTTCCTCAGTTTGACTCACTGTGTTGTTTTATTTTGAAGTTTTCAAACAAACGTAAAAATATTATGGCGATCTTTATAACCGTAATAATACCGTGATAAAAATCCGGTATTAGCCCAGTCCTACTTGGAAACAGCTTTGATGAAAAGTTAAATGTTGTTAAGCCCTTTCACAGATATCAAACTACAGTATAATGACCATATTTTTTCACGCTGTATAAATAAATCTTTACTGGCTTTTAATACCAAGTAGCGTGGTTACACTTTATTTTATTGTATTGTATTTTTTTCTTTTTTATTGTATTTATTTATTCATTTTTATTTTCTATGTATTGTAAAGCAGTCTGGTTCTGTGAAAGGGTTGTTATAAAGGGCTGTATAAATAAATAACATTTACATTTTACTTATTATTTTGGTTTTATGTTTGCTCTTTGCCTTAATGTGGGGTTTTTATTTATGGAGGTGATTTTGATTTATTTTATTTCAGGAAATTTCTCTGTTTTGTGTCCTGATTGGTGAAGCCTGGAGTTTGTATTTTTTTAATATGTTTAATAGTTTTTCTGTAATTCTTCATGTAATGTTTGTTTCCTAATTGGGTGTCAAAGTGGAAGTTATCCACCATGGACTGCAGCTACAAATGCAGAAGGCTGACTTTACCTAATATGACAATCATTTGGTCACATGTTAACAGTTTTTCCTGCATTATATAAAAAAAACAAGGCGCTGTGACCCTTAAATAGAAAGGATAACATATTATTGACAGACTGATAAGTTTGTTCTCTGATTTATGACTCAAATTCTTGAATTATTTTCATGCTTGACACCAGTTCTTGAACTTTTTGCATGTGGTACCAGGACTAGTATGTTGGAAAAGTCTTATTTTACCAAGTTTAACACACTAATATGTAAAAAAACCTCAGTTTTAATATACGCCTCCTCTTGTCCAACAGATTGGGGCCAGTAGGTCAGCAGTGGCCCCCAAAGCAACAGTGCATTTTCCCAAAGTGATGAGCTATCAAGTATTCAGTGAAGCACAGAGCAGCAGCCTTAATCTGAACAGTGAAGGGAGTGTTCACCCCGTTCAGGGGTCACTGCAGTGGAACAGCCCATCACAGACCGCATCAAAGACCTGCCAGAAATATCGATGGGTTTGGACCCGGGCCGGGAAATTCACTGTGGCAATCACTCACTGGGCGCTGCGCTTTAAAGAAGGGAGGAAAGACAGCGGAAATAGTTTGTTGTTTACTCTTCCATATCTTCTCTTTATATTATTACAAAACTTTACACAGACAATTGCTAATCTCCACACTTGGGTGGAACACAGAGAGACAAAACGACAAAAAATAAAAAGTATTTCTCATCCAAAAGGCATAAATAATATAAAAGACAAACTTTCCTTTAAAACAGATACATTCATATGAAATAATATTTTACTACTACAAAAAATAAATAAGTCATCTAAAGAGTTTTTGATCTTTTTACGAGAGTCTTTCCTCCAGTGGGGAACAGTTCATTTCTTGGAGCAGTGTCCTTTGCTCTTAGCGTCTCTCTCTCCATCTGGCTTTGCTCTCGCTTCGTTCCCACGCCGCTCGTCTCAGCTCAGTCCGTCCTCGTTTTGTGTCCTTTTTGTCACCGTAACATGCAGTGTCTCTGACTATCCCATCTGAGAAAACTCCACACTGTCTCTCACAGTCTCTCCGCCCGGTTCCTCTGCGCCCCCTCCACACTGCAGGACGGCGGTGTTTGTGTGTGGGCTTCCTTCAGACCTCCTGCGGGCCGGGCTGGATCAGCTCTCCTGCCAGGCTGCTGCTGGAGATCCACCCAGGCTTTTCGTCACAGTCCAAGTCTGGAAGGCCAAGACTCTCCCAGCACACCACAGGCCCCTCCATGTCCACGCACTCCAGCTCCTCCTCAGCTACACACACACAAAGAGGAGACTCTGGTTTGTGCTTCATATTAAAAAAGACAGGAACAGAATCTGGAGAGGCCCACAGTGTAATTTGTGGTGATGCTGCATAGTTTGTCTGCATACTACATGATGATTGGTAATGATACAAAAACTTACAAGTCAAGCCTGAAGAGGAAGAGCTGACAGAGTTTGATTTCACCGCCGTGTTTAACCATCACTATGTTTTCACTTACTGACTGGAAGTTTAACTTAAAGGTTTTTCAGCGAGAATTTGACTTTTGTTTGTTTTTAGCATTCTGTTGTGGGTTCTGGATAAATCGATAAATAACACCCACAACAGTTTACATGCAAAGTTTAGTCAAAATTAATTAACCATTTGCATGAATCTCAAAGTTTTATCTGCATACGTGAAAAGCCGAGCAGCAGCAGTAAAGCAAAGACTTGACTCTGACTTCTCTCATATATGCTCCTGTAGATGTCAGTTCTTTGTTGGTAGCCATGATCTTTTATAATATTTGTGTATTGTGTGGTTATACAGGGATGAGAGTCAAGTGGTGTGGGTGGAGGGAGTACGTCAGCACCTGTAGTAGTGAAGTCAGCTGTTCACCTGTCAGGTTTTGTGGATGAATGGAGAGGGGGTGAGAGGGAAGTTCTACTTTTTGCTGACCGCTTATGTTTCGCTTTTTCTCTTATAAACAGGAGATGCAGGAAAAAGCAGTTTGCAAAATCAGTTTTTATAAATGTCTTTTTCTCAAGTCACTTTTACTCTCTGAATCATGTTAAATAATAAGAGTTGAATGTTTTTAATGCTTGCATGAGAAAACATAGAGTGACAAACACTCTTTGGTGTAGAAATAAGTCTTACCAGTGTTGTCTGCTGGACAGTTTTCGTTGTTTCCAACCAGACAGCAGGAATGCTGCGAGGGCGAGGACTCCCTGTGCTCGTCTGGTTGGCACCCTGCGTTCGCGCCCTGATCGCCACAGTGGATCTGACTGTCAGGACCGTGGCACTGCGATGACACCTGGCCCAGAGGAACCATCTCCAGCCCGTCCTGCTGGCACGGCGCCACACGGTGCATTAGAGGCAGAGTGCCACCGGAGAAAGTGCCGTTGGCCTTGTTGTAGCATCTGCTCAGAGACACGAGGAGAGAGGAAAAGGACTCATTTGTCTTTGTAGATAAGCGAAGTCTGCTGGTGAACAACACTGACACTAACTGACTCTCAGCGGTCCCTCAGATCCCGCTCTGGTTCCTCCTCTCTGCAGATATTTGTGGCTTTTCCAGCAGACACTGAAACCCTTCTGTTAATTCTCCGTACAGTGTGCTGAACAATGACAGCTCCAACACGAGTGGAGCTCTCTGGCACAGCTGTAAAAATCATTTTCAACAGTTGAACCGGAGATTAAAGGCCCGGTCTGCCTGCCTCTAAATAACTCTGACACATTGTGGTTTTGAAGCTCCTAAACTCAGACAGTTGCATGCTGGGAGCTTCACCCCGTTTCTCTCTATCGGTTCATGATTGGATCGTGACCACACCCCCCCTCTTTTCCCAGCAGCCGGAGGTAAATAAACACAGGGCTCATTAGGTCTGCTGGCTGGGTGCACACTGGGTAAACTGTGATGCTGGGGACCCTTAAGTACATAAACAGAGAAACTGTGTGTGTGTGCATGAAGGTGCACGTCTGTGCATCGCTCCGCTGACTGTCAGAAGATACAGGCTCATGTTTTTGCAGTTTTCATTAAAACCTTCCTCCTGTGTTCGCTTTTACTACGCACCCACCAAGTTAAGGGTCAGTTTTGACCCGTGTCTTAAATCAGCTGTAAATTAAAAACAATTCTCCATCATCCAGTTTAATTCTCATCTCTAGGTTACTTTGTTCGGCTTCATTATCCATGAAAATATTGATTATAATAGTTTTTGTTGTGGTCCTCTGCCTCACATAGACATCTATACTGAATTGATCTCACTTCTGGACACGCTCAATGTTGTTTTTTTGTGCAGGAAAAACATGTAAAAATGAGAATTTCCTAAATCTCACATGATTGGAAGATAATTTGACTGTCAGTAATTATTAGATATTGATCTAACCGGGTCAACAGCGACCCTAACATGACAAGTGCCAAAATTTTAAAAAGAGCATTTTATAATTTAGTGAATTTAATTTTGTTGAAAATTTTATTTTGTTGAAACAGAAGTTCCGACCATCAGATGGTTGTTACCAGAACCTCCTCATGCAATATCTGGATTTGAAAGTCTGGGATATTTATCAAACAGAGCAGATCAGATTTTCACTGAGGCTTCAGAGGGCCTCCTTAAATGAAAGATGGAACTTGTGGAACCTTTATTGATGCAGTGACAGTTTATGTTCATGGTGAGAGAAATTCCTATTATATCAAAATACTGTCATCCTGCCTCTGACTGGAATCTGTGCCTATAGATCTGTACTTTGGAGAGGACGTCGTTTATTTGTGTTGATTATTATGATTATTCTCTTTAATTGAATCCGACATTATCTGTGGACGTCACATACAGCTAGAAAAAGGAAAAGATGTGTCTTGTATTTAGATGTATACACTGTATTGTTCTGATTAAAAACTTTTAAAAAATTAAGTAAAAAAATAAAATAGAGGTTCCTGAAAAAGTCAAAAAGTCTTGGTGTGAAAAAGCTGATTTAAGTGGCTCTTTTAAGTATTTAAAATCAAAAACAGGTCAGTGCAGACTCTACCACAGGAGGAGGGTAAAAAAAAAAAGATTATTTAGCAAATATTTGATGCAAAAGCTGCAGAGAAACTCGGTCTCACCTGTTATTGTTGCAGAGGTTCTGACAGCTCATACAGTCAGACGACTCTGTTTGAGGGAGAGCCGTGTACATCCCTCCACCCTGACAGGAAAACACAAACAGACATGTCACTCGCTGACCTTCAAACTCCACATTCAGTCATTTATTCTCCTGCATCTCATCTCTTTGGTGTCTGGTCTGCAGCGCTCACGTTATGGTGGTGGTGAGGGTGCGAGTGCTCACACTCCCGGGTGCTGTGAGGCAGGGTGCCATCGTGGCCGTGTGGGTGGCCGGGAGAAAAGAGTCCGCCTGAGCCGTTCATCAGCGCCAAACCGTTGGGGAGTTTGTGGTGGAGGTGATGGCACCCTTGGGATAACATGGGGCCGCTGTGCCCGTAGCCCCCGTGGACGCCTCCATTGATGCGGCTGGAGCCGGGTAGAGTGGTGTACTCGAGAACGTGGCCGTTCATCTCCGCTGGCTGGTACAGGTAGTTGGGAGGGTCGTACTCTATGAGAGAAAGGAGAGGATAGACCTCATGAAACACTCTTCTTTAAAGAGTTTGACCTATTTAGGAGAGAGATCGGATTTTAACGAACTTAAACTTTCCGATTAGTTTTGTATTTCAGCAATAATCCATTATTTCCCTTCGATGTCATGGAACTCTCATAAACCGTCACAGCACCTGTGACTCAACGCAAACCTGGAGCCAAAATCTTCAAGCTGCAAATCCTAAAATATTTACAGATCCGACCGGAGCGGTAAAGAGTCCGTCCAACAACGGCAAACACTTTTAGAGGAGCCGCGGGATCCATATTTGCTGCACAAGCTGTCATTTGTAGATATGAGACAACTCAAACGAAGTTAACTCTTCGTCTGCTGAGTTCTTTTTGACTCTGGACTCACTGTGCATGTTGTTCTGCTGCCGGTTCCTCCGCAGACACATGGCGATAAAAGCCAGCAGGATGAGCACCATCACCCCCAAAACGCAGCCCACGATCATGTACAGCGGTCCTCCAGGTGAGCCGGACGGCTCCGGCAGGTGGGGGCCAGGTGGGGTGACGGGGTGCTGGCTGGGTGACCCGGGGGACTGACGTGCTGCAGCAGAGAGAGAGGAGGGGAAATGAGCTCTTTATACCCGCCAGCTACAGGCGAGAAAAAAAATAAGAGCGCTCCAAACTATAAAAAGTGAGGCATTGTTGTTGGTCTCATAAAACTCGGAGCATTTATGTCGTGTAATTATGGCGATCATACCCGTTATTAAAGTTACAGCCTCTGCAGGAACATGCCCGGACTTCTGATGAAACCGAGGTTTGTTTGACTCGGCATGACTCACTTCTCATGTGGCGCAGACTCTTACCTCGGGTCTCGCAGATCATGACGTTGCTGTACTCGCTCTCTCCCCCGTCGTTAAAGCACTGCATCTTGATATCGTAGGAGGTCTCAGGCTGGAGGTGTCCAATCATGTGCCAGTGTTTGACACCTGAGGAGGTGGAGGAGGAGGAGGAAGAGGGGAGGGGAGAGAAAGGGAGCAAAGGTGAGGGTTTGTTTTCAGAGACGGTGTTGACTCCCTCTGTGTAAACTCTGAGTCCGTCCTTTTTATTCTTCCCCTCGTGTCTGGGACTTTCATGAAGGTCAAGTTCCTTCATGCTCTTCCTCTCTTTCATTCACCCCCACCACCCTTCTCTCTTACTCCGTCAGTCCCACAAGAGCCCAGCCAGACGGTTGCTTTACTCTAGACCAGCTCCATATATGGCAGCTTCATGTTTGTCCTGGCTCACCTCCAATATTCACACACACACACACACACACACACACACACACACACACACACACACACACACACACACACACACACACACACACACACACACACTCCTATGTGCTCTGAAATCACAAATGAGACGACAATCTCCGACACAGAAATGCTACATTTCCAACAAATGAGGCTGAAAGAAGCTGTTGTTGTTTTTGTGCTGGTTTGATATAAAGTGTAATAAATCAGCGCACATGTGCCGCCGTCGTCACCGCCGCCGCCGCCCTGAGGTACATTTGAACTTGTTTGAATAATAAAAGAAAGCTGCTGCTGCTGCTGCTGAGGTCGAGTCGACTCTGTAAGACCCAAAACAGAAGCAGGACTTTGTGTTGACAGTTTTCAGAGACGGCCTAAAGGGATTGAGAGCAGCTCCATGTGGATAAAACACAGATGATTGAAAAACTAGAAAGATTGTCCGTCAGATTTAAAGTTTTGTTTCTATTTCAAAGTTATTTTGGGGCCTTCTTTTTATGCTTAAAGCTCCTGTGAGACACAGGTTTGGATTTGACTTTATCTGCTGGTTATTTTAAAGCCCAAAAACTCCTACAAACAACTTTTTACTGATCATGACATCCAGGAACTAAACGACTCTGACATGAAACGACACAAAGAATTAAGAACTTTGAAGACAAAAAGATTTCATGAAATCTGGATGAGATTTCTGTAAAAAACAAACAAACAAACGTGAAATAAAATCTGCATACGAAATGAGGCGTTACTTTTTCAATTAAAATCAACGCTAGAAATCCTCTTAAAGACACTTTTTTGGCATTGAGGAAGTAACAGAAATTTACAGTAAGACTATTTTAGAATCAGAATTAGAAATACTTTAATAATCCCCACGAGGAAATTGCTTTTGTCGCGTTAACTCCAGTGCAAATAAAGTAGAAAGAGGAGATAAATAATACTGTATTTTTTGTAAACATCGACAGAAACAGAGAGTTCCTGACAGGAGCTTTAAATAAATCTAAAATGAACGACGAAATCTGGTTTTATGTTTAAAACGTGGGTCCCCTTCCACAAAAGCCACCATCTTGATCATCTATGTTTCTACAGAAGCCCAGAATGGACAAACTAGTGACATAATCGAGGGACAAAAAAAGACGTCAGAAAATCCGACTTTGTGTCACAGGAGCCTCTACAGAAATATTTTCTCTTTACATGTATTTCGAGTCGCTCCAGATCGTAATTACGCCACAAATTAATTTCTGTTTCTCGATCTTGAGGATCCCTAACCCCGTGTTTCTGACTCGGTCCTCTCCTGTGGATATTCGTCCCTCATGTCCACATGTTAAAGAGCGGGGCGGAGTCAAAGGAAGGCCGTCCCTCCTCCTTCCTTTCCTGTACCAGGCTCCACTGTTAGCATTCCTCCCAGCAACCTGAACCCCTCTCCTCGGCTCCGGCTCATGTTTCAGTTCTGGCAACCATTTATTAAAAACAGATTTCAGAGAGCCCTGCTGCCCGGGGGACAGCGCTGCCTATAAATCAAAGAGCACACATGCACCTCCTCACTCCAGCCCTCTCTGGACGCTCCGTATCCATTACCAACAAAGTCCCAGTTTACCAGCAGAGAGGGATCGCTGTCAACAAACAACCCACCGCAGATCAACACTCACTAAACATCCTGGTTTTGACTCACCTTCAACCACGTCTCTCTTGTAGTCGCTGTCGTTGTCACTGTCTGTGGGCCGGTAGTAAATATAGAAGCCCTGGATCGGAGTGTTGTTGTTACTCGAGGGATTATACTGCATGGATGGAAAAAAGATTACCTTACTTTACAGCAATCGAGAAAGCAATTATTAAACACAGAGAGGACATTTTCCAGCAACTAATGGCCGGGCTTGTTATCAGCAGATGTACAGGGAGAGAGAGCGGCGCTGTGATTGCTCTGTCTGTCTGAAGCTGAGGGAATAATGAGTGTGTCTGAGGTTAAGTAAATGTGGGGAACTATCGGAGTCCATCTGCAGCCAAAAAAACTGCTGCTGCTGCGAGGACTTTGAAGAGACGACGGACAGAGCCTCTTAATCTGGGCTGAAACAGAGCTCTGATCAGAGCAGCTGCTCGCTGGTTTAAGGTCGAATTCAGAGAGTTTCAGAGAGTTTCAGAGAGTTTCAGAGAGTCCGCTCAGAGACAGGTGAGAGTTAAAGAGAGTTAAAGAGAGTTGAAACAGAAAATTAGCTGTGATATTTGGAGATATGTTATTTTGGATATTCATAGAAACTCCTGTGATCAACTTTACATTTTTGTGCAGCCTTCTCTACCTCTGCTGGTTTTAGATGAACTTTTAAGACTTGGATTAAGGTCAGACTCAAACATGAAGACCCGTTTAAGGTCAAAGTCTCGATTTTGGAAACAGCTTCAGGCGAGGTCAGAGGTCACGATCTCTTCAAACCTCGTGATCGGGTTATTTGAAAATAGATGCAACATTTTATTCAGATTCCAAAAACAGAAACTTTAACTTTAAGGTAAAACATGACATGAATACAACTAGGGCTGTCCCGATACGATATTGATAATTGATATTGGTCCGATATCAGCTAAAAAAACAAATATTGGATTATATCAGCCTGGATCTAAAATCACTGATACAAGCAGTCCATTCCAGACTCCACTCCGGCACCTCTAGCTAGCATCACGGTGATCACAACAACAGTGTGTACTTATGCTGCGTTTGAGTTTCCTCGGAAGTCAGATGTCGAAGCTAAAAAAGGCGTCACACACGACTTCCCAACGATTCAGTTCCCAAATCAGAAAAAGAAAAATCGGAGGCCTGAAACAAGATGGCTACATCTACCAAAGTTATTTTAGCGCTTGCCTTGTATTCGGACAAGGCAAACAAATTTTGTTTTTTTCCGATTGGTTACATGAAATGCCGGTAACTCAGGTGTGACGTCATTTTCAGCTCCGACATCTGACTTCTAAAGTAACTCAAGCGCAGCATAAGGTACAAACAAAGTAGAGAGGAGAGACGTTGCAGCTGAATCAAAAACTTGTCATGTGCCAACATCGGATCAAAAATCGGTATCAGCCGATAATGAAGGCTACAATATCGGTATAGTATTAGAAGTAAAAAAGTTGTATCGGGACACCCCTAAATAAAACATCCAGGACTGAGACGAACAGCGATGACGACGGTAAAGAGGTATAAAGTTGGTCCTCACAGTACTCACAGTCCAGCGCAGCATGATCTGAGTGTCGCTGATGGCGTCCGTGGACGAGATGTGAGGTCCGACCACGGGGCGGTCTGCGATCCGCGGGCTGGCCTGGGGGACCTGGTACAGCTTGGAGGGGATGCTGTGAGGACTCTCGCCGTACATGTTCATCGCCACGACCCGGAACTTGTAGGTGGAGCCTAAAGAGAGGATGATTGTGATTGGTGACGGTTATCGAAGACAGAAATGTGAACAAGACTACGGAGCCCCGGAGGTGACATCAACTTTGACGACTTTGTGGATTAAAGATTTCTGATCATGATGTTGACAGAAAAGTCAAGACGAACATCTAATCTCTCTATCCTTAATCTTCATTTTGGAGGAATGACTGAGACATCCATGAACTTCCTGAAGTCTCACCTGGCTCCAGGTTGCGAACTTCCACCGATAGTTTGAGAGGCGAGATGTTATCCGCGGCCACCACCCACTCCGCACTGCGCCCGCGTCTGTACTCCACGCGGAAAGCCGTGATCGGGGACCCGCCGTTGGCTCTCGGGATCCAGGTGACATAAACCGAACTTTCGGTCGCCATGGAGATGGTCGGGCGATCAGGGGCCTCAGGTACTAGAATGAGTGAAAAGAAGAGGACTTAACTGAAGTCACACAAACGTGACGGTGAATCGGGTTAATACTCAGAGAGAGAGAGAGAGAGAGAGGGTGAGCGAGCAGAGTTCATCACTGCGTCCAAACTCGAGTAAGGAAAGAAAGTTCACAGGGACGGAAAAAAGGAAAAAGACGACACATCAGAGGGAAGCGGCATGCCGTGAGTAATGTGTACTTACTGCCTGGGCTCTTAGCCACAGAGTTAGAGAGGGCAGGAGAGAGAGAGAGAGAGAGAGAGAGAGAGAGAGAGAGAGAGAGAGAGAGAGAGAGAGAGAGAGAGAGAGAGAGAGAGAGAGAGAGAGAGAGAGAGGGTTAGTGAAAAGACCAATGTGGTTTCAGAGAGTTGGCCTGCACGTAATGGGAGTAAAACACACACACACACACACACACACACACACACACACACACACAGATCTGTGTGCAGTCTCACAGTTTTCTGCTTACAGCATCTCTCATCCAAAGAGTCATTACAGGGTGTCAGCTAACGTCTGACTGAGCGCGCTCAGAGGCGAAACAGACCACATCAAAACGTGACGCTCTGAGATCTATTCAGCGCACGGCGGTCATGAACTCCACAATAAACACCGACACCAAAGAGAGCAACATAATCTCTGCAGAAACATCCCATAATAAGAACTGTCAGGGAGGCGGGTCTGCACCTACCTCTGTCGTGGATGACCACGCCAAAGTGCGTGTTGGGGGTTTTGTCCACCGGGTCCTTCGGCGTCATGGGGATGACGGGAGGTTTGGAGGGGTTCTTGTTGGAGGTGGTGCTTTTCTCTGAAGGAGGAAGAAGAAGGAAAACAGGGCGTCAGAAAAACAAGATCTTGAAGGTCGTCAGGGTTATCAGAGAACACAGAAGAGCTCCGGATGCTGGCTCTGAAATCGGACATTTCCCTCCTCTGGTTTCAGGAGATGTTCAGACGTTATCAGGGCGGGTTTCAGGTTTGACAACGCCGCTGTAACTCAAAGTGAAGTCTAACACGTCTGGAAGGAAAACGCTGGAAGAATCTAGAGCTGATGACGTTAAACTACGTCTCCTTTTCTTCTAATAACTCACATCAGATCTGATATTATTTAATCTTCTTAAGTTTACGTTGATTTCCACCAGGACATCAGTAGTGAATATTTCCCACAGACTCGGTTCAGCCTGGTTTTGGACTGGTTGGTATTTTCGAAAAAGAACCGCTGCTGGGATATAATCATATCTGCGGGTTTGGACTCTATTTGACATATTTCTGACCAGAAAGCATTTTTCCACCCGATGGTGGTTCAGCATGTTTTTGAAACCGTGTCTTTTATTTTGATTTGTCCCAAAAAAACACAAATGTCTGATTCTTCAGCGGACTGTGATTGGACGCGCTCAGAGTTATCGTCCATCTTCCTTCAGGCTGCAGTTTTCATGCGTCCTTATTTGTTTAAACTCAGTTATCAATCTTCCCTGATGTGGATCTCTGACCTCTGAAGAGCAGCGGGTCGTTTTCATCTCGGCTCAAACATGCAAAACTGTTTTCATGTTTTTCTCATGCTCTCCATGATGCATGTTTCTCCTCTGATAGATTTCTTCCTGGATGTCTGTTGAGCGTCAGAAAAGTCTAAAGTCCAGATGCTGCTTAACTCAGACAAGCTGACACCAAATCCTGACGTTTACTGTTGATGTTCTGAACATCTATTGGAGGTTAGAAAACCATCCCGTTCTTCTCAGGGATACAGCAGGAAACAATAAACAGACAAATAAACACATTTATTAAAGACACTCCTCTAATGGCGCTTGTTTTCGTGAGTCGAGAATGAAAATGGGACTCACCCTTTCCAGTGCGGAAGGTGAGCATGGCGGGCTGTCCCTCGCCCGCCGAGCTGCGAGCCACCATCAGCACCTCGTAGAGACTGGAGGGTTCCAGCTCTGACAGCCGGAGCGACTTCTCGCTGCCAGGGACGCGAACCGTGTACCAACTCCCCACCACCGCTCCCATTTCATCAACCTGACGCACACACACGCACACACACACATGGACGAGCGACCACACACACACAGAGACAAACACAAACACATGACAGTCAGAAAAACATCATCATCTGTGAATCTGAATAACGGCCTCAGAATCGACCCTCTGAGATTTCTGTCACAGTTTCCGACTCCAACAAAACCCGGTCCGCCTGCCAACAGAGTCTGGACCAGAACCGCTGCAGTTTTATGGACAGAGGGAGCCTGTTACAGACCGGGTCCTGGATCCATTTATGAGCGAATTATATCGACCCGTTCTCAGGTGCTGTTGGGAAAAACCCTTCAGGGGGAAGGAGAAAAACCGCCGCCCTCACCTTACGATATTTGACGAAGTAGGCGTTGATTGGACTGCCCCCGTCGCGCCCCGCCTTCCACTCCAGGTCGTACACGTCGGGTTTGTGGGTCTGAGGCGGGCTGATGATGATCGGCGCCTCTGGAGTCGGACGGTCGCTGCTCCGATCAGACGGCAGACTCAGTCCGTCGCCCTCGTCCTCGGTCAGGAAGCGCTCCAGACCCTCGTCGCTCTGCATGGGGTGTGAGGTTGGCGAGGAGGTGGAGCTCAGCGGTGGATCTGTGGGGTCGACAAAAAGAAGGATGTGAACTATAACTCCTCATAAAAATCAGACATGACTCTGGAGTGGAAATCACCGCATAGACTCAAAATAAATCTGAACAGAGCAAAAAGGAGATCAACAGGTGGACCGAGGCGACTGTCCTGAGGTCTGACAACCTTTTTAGAAATCAGGGACTAGGGCTGGGCGATAAGGTCTCTTATCAATATCACGATATATTGATTAGTTAAATACTCCAGTTAACTACTTCATCTACTTCAGCTGCTCCAACTTTTGAAGCGTCCTCCATCTCGTCTCTGACTTCTCACGGTATCTCTAAGGGACCACAGCCTACCTTCACACCTCCAAAACCAACTTTGATTTATTTGACACCAAATATACAGAAATGGGCGAAATGACAGTGTTTGGTTATTGATGTAAGTTTCAGTATCGGTAAATTTTCAGTTTGTTGCTCAGCCCTATGACCGACACCACTTCATCATCAGTGAGGAATTAAAAACTACAGGCAAGTTGAAACGCTCAAAATAAAAACAAATATTCAGCAAACCACCGGATGCAAATTTTTTCTTCGTAGAATGGTAGGGGAAAATCCCGCCCTCCTTCGCCTCTGATTGGCTAGAAGTGCTGGCTTCCAATTGGTTATTCCTTACAGCTGTGAAATGTCATCGTCTGTTGGGTTAGGAGATTCAGAAGTGCGATAATGTTCTGTAATGTTCTGTTTGATGTAGAGAGCCAACAGCCCACGTTTGGCTTGAGCGTGTGATGACGTTTCCAGCTTTTCTAGCCAATCAGGGGCGAAGGAGGGCGGGACTTTCCCCTACCATCATACAAAGACAAATATCGCCCACCAGACATCGATTAACGTGGACGCTCTTCAATCTTTCTGTCTCCAGTCGATTGGGCGAATCCAAAATGGTGAAAACAAGGGGGGTGTTCTGAGACAGGCTGGTGCTCTAAAAACACCCCCATTAGCACTTGGTACGTTCCTCTTGATGAAATCAACCATAGACTGTAAATTGACACGGAACAAAATCGAGTTGACCGATCAGAATTTCGACTCAGCACGTATCGACCAATAAGTCGACTGGGATTTTACAGCCCGAGTGTTAACACATCTAAACATCTGAGCAGATATTTTTACACAAACTATTTTGGATTAAATTATTTAAAAAACCATCAAATAACTTTTATTTATGAATCTGCGTCCAAACTTTGAGTGACTCGGGTTTGTCTGAATATGAGAAACCTGGTTTAAAGTCGAGTTTTGGACGTCTGTAATAAAAGCTGAAGCCATGGCAACAATGAGAGTCAGTCAGTGACTTACAGAGGAGGTCCAACATGTCGACAGGAGACGAGCCGAGCTGGAAAGTTTTACATTTGGAACAAGCCTTTTCAATCTACATAAAATAACAAGCTCCTCTGCTGCTCCACATAATCAGGCTTTGTTTGTTTTTTTCATTAAATCTGAGCCGCAGCCAGAACCGTCCACCTGGGCAAATCCTGCAGCCCGGGAGCCTTATTACGGCTGACACCAGCTTGGCAGAGCCCGGGTGGAATTTTTCACAGACATTTGGAGGACACTGAGCTCGGCCCGGAGGAGGAGGCGGGACCGCTCGACTCGGAGCCACACCGCTGAGGTCAAAGAGCGAAAACCTAAAGTTAAGGAGGTTAGAGCAGTGAGGTTTGCCACAGGAGACCTCTGCAGGCTCCCCGGTCCGGGTTCGAGCTGTTTTGTGTGCGGCACCGGTTCACTTAAACAAACAGGCCCGGAGCTGGTAACACTAGACCTGATCCTGGGACTGCAGCCAGCTGCCGCACATTCCACACGCCGACCATTAAAATACCGGAGCGAATCAGAGCCCAGCCATACATCCAGGCCTCCGCGCTCTCTCCTGTTCGCCCTCTCTCTCTCTCTCTCTAACGCACAGCCTGACCACAGCCGGAGCTCCTCCTCCTCCTCCTCCTCCTTCACACTGACACCAGAGGAGGCAATTAAGGCCACAGCGACCTCACCATCCTGATGGAGGCGGGGGTGTGTGTGTGGGGGTGATATTTCTTGAGTAAGCACGGCTCCACCTGGACAGAGATCCACTGCCAGGTCCTTCCCAGAAAAAGGTCAGTCCATTAGAGAGGAACACCTGTGAAGGTGAATCATGAAGGATGAGAGTCCGCTCAGAGTTCAGCGCAGCGCTGGAGGACAAGCTCGACGATTTTTCATATTCCTGACTGACTGCCAGGATGTCAGAGCGGCTTATCCTGATGGAGGGAGGAGGTGCGAGTCTCCGGGGCTGCCGATGATTAATTTTTACGAACAGCTCGGCTTTTAGGTTGTTTTTGTTTTTTTAATGAATCAGCTCGCTGTTTGGAAAGACGACAAAGTTCAGAGTTTGATCGTAAACATTAATTAATATTGATTTCCAAACGTGGAAGTGATAGACTCTCTCAGGGCTTGACACTAATTTTTTTCACATGTTCTCCTAAGTTGAAAAAATAAGAAGCACACAGAGAACTTTAGAGGAACAATAAAAACTGATCAAATAATGTTTGTCTTATTGATCGACCTTCGTACTTTTATTTGAAATCAATTTTAGGTCTTTTGGTCACATGACATGGAAGCTATTGAAGGAAAACAGCCTTTTTTTAAAACATCAACCAGTAATTTATTGACGGTCCCTTATTCAACACCGACGTTGACAGTGAGGGTGTCGAGTAGATTTAATCGCACTGCTGTTGTTATTCCCGGTTATGGAGAGTGAGAAGACACCGGTAGATCCTCAGAGAATGTCCGTCAGATATCCAACCTGAAACTAACTTCACCGCCGTATTTACAGGGAAATATATCCAACCTAAAACTAACTTCACCGCCGTATTTACAGGGAAATATATCCAACCTAAAACTAACTTCACCGCTGTATTTACAGAATATATCCAACCTGAAACTAACTTCACCGCTGTATTTACAGGAAAATATATCCAACCTGAAACTAACTTCACCGCCGTATTTACAGAATATATCCAACCTGAAACTAACTTCACCGCCGTGTTTACAGGAAAATATATCCAACCTAAAACTAACTTCACCGCCGTATTTACAGGAAAATATATCCAACCTAAAACTAACTTCACCGCCGTATTTACAGGAAAATATATCCAACCTGAAACTAACTTCACCGCCGTATTTACAGGAAAATATATCCAACCTGAAACTAACTTCACCGCCGTATTTACAGGAAAATATATCCAACCTAAAACTAACTTCACCGCCGTATTCACAGAAAAATATATCCAACCTGAAACTAACTTCACTGCCGTATTTACAGGAAAATATATCCAACCTAAAACTAACTTCACCGCCGTAGTTACAGGAAAATATATCCAACCTAAAACTAACTTCACCGCCGTATTCACAGAAAAATATATCCAACCTAAAACTAACTTCACTGCCGTATTTACAGGAAAATATATCCAACCTAAAACTAACTTCACCGCCGTATTTTGTTGCCTCGTCTGATTTTTTTATTTGCCCCTAATTGCATTTTACGATTCGCACGCATCTATTTTGTGAAACGGTCTCCCTGTCGATCCCTGTCTCTGAAACAAACATGTCAGCTTTCTGGCTCGCTGCTCCGTAACCCTGGAGGAGGGCGGGTACAGCGTGTGTCGAGGGAGGACGGCCAATCACCTGCCAGGATAAGGACACAGCATCTCCCGTTTAGAGGTTACCATAGTGACGGGAACAACGACACTAAACAGAGATAATTCTCTCTGTGATGGATTACAACAGCACACGTCAATGACACCGTTTACTCTCAACGCAAAGGTCATGTGATAAGCCGCTGCGGCTGGTACAGAGAAAAACCGCCAAACTCGAACCCTCCTCAGAGTGTTTACCGCCGCTTATCAGCGCCAAATTCTGTTTCTACATTTGTGCTCCGATATTAAAAGTGATTCTTCTTCTTCCTGAGAGAAAGGAACAAATGTTTGGAGGTGAACCCGTCTGATCCGGCGTGATTTGTACTCCCAGTGTACCTCGTGTAGCCGTATTAATCATCCTGCAGATAGCAGGCTGAGCTGAGGAATGGGGCCGTGGCGTGGAGCTTCGGCGGGGGGGAGTGATGGAGGAGGAGAGGGAGGGCTGTGATGTGTTAATAAATAAAAGGCAGTTGTGTATGATGTTGACAGCTGGGTGGTCTGGTCCTCGTCATAACCCTCCACGGCTACTCCTTACATTCCAGTGTCCGGGGGCTTATCCCCGGCGGCGTGCACAAAGCTCACTCTCACGCTCAGGCTCAGTTCGAGGCTCAGGAGGAGGGCGGCCTTGGCTAAGCCTCTCCTACCAGCACCTCAGAAAAACACACACACACAAGGAGCTCCCTGCAAATACTGTACGAGCAGCAGCACACAGCGATCCGGACTGGTGGGACGCCTTAACCCTTTACAAGACCTGAGAGAGTCCCGGTCTGGTTAAACGTTTTTATCTTTTGTATCTGAAAACCCAGCAGTAGGGCTGGGCGATATGGCCTTGAATCAATATCATGATATATTGATCAGTTCACCTTGATAACGATAAACAGACGATAACTACTCCACAAGCTGCCCACCCCCTCCCACATTAACTTCGTCTACTTCAGCCGCTCCGACTTCTGAACCGTCCTCCATCTCCTCACCTGTCTTTACGTCTTTGTTACGGACTGGATGTAGGACAGCGTCTTAAAGGGACATGAGACCATAGCCTACCTACACACATCCAAAAACAACTCTTCTTAATTTATCTGTTTATTTGACACTGTATATACCGATATGGGCAAAATGATGTCGGTTATTGTCGTAAATTTTGGTATCACTAAGTCTCCGTTTTCTCGCCCAGCCCTTCCCTGCAGCATCAGCACACAATCTCACATTGTTCAGTTCGTCATGACCTCAAATTGTTACCCAGTACTGGTTTTGTCCTGGTTTTAGGGTCCTGAATGGGGCGAGTCTTAAAAAGGGGATTATAACCTCTATTTGACTCTTTATTGCAGCGTTGGTGTGAAACATGAAAACCTCTCCTTTGATCGTTTAGTTTGTTTGCTTACACCTCTCATCAGCTGCTCCAACAGTTTAAATACATGTGCAGCATGTTTACTTGGTCACATGACCTTCCAGAGTGCAGAGTCATGGCAACCAGCAAAGAAAGCAAAGCCTCGAAATGTTAGTACCAACTAAACCCTTTTCAAAGTTTAAGTTTCCTCCAGTAATAAAGGATTTGACTGAACCTGACCTGACTGCAGTGTCAGCGCTCCATGTGACTGTGCCGAGCTGACGCCGTTGTCCAGCAGACACTGAAACACTCCCTGATCCTCCGCCGTCACCTCGGCAACAACAAGCGAGGATCCAGAGATGAGGAAGCGCGGGGACGACGAGTCGATGGGCTCGGCGTTGAACAGCCAGGTGATGTTCGGAGAAGGGTTTCCTTTCGCCAGGCAGGTGAATCGAGCCGAGGATCCAGGAGAGACGAGCTGGTCGGTCAGACCCTCAGTGATCGACACCGGCTCTGTGGAGGAGGAGGAGGAGGAGGAGGAGGAGGAAGAGGAGGAAGAGGAAGAGTTGGTTTGACGTGTCTGTGAAATCTGAAATCTCTGAAACTCTGACGATTCTCACCGAGAACATTCACAGTGTAGCTGGCGCTGGTCACCGTCCCCTGCTCGCTGTCCGCCGCACAGGCGTAACTTCCTTCGTCGCTCCTCGTCACCGTCACAAAGACCAGGTTGTTGTGTTGTTGTCTCTGAACGGACCCCGGCGTTACCGCTTTACCGTTTTTAAACCATTTGGCTGCAGGAGCCGGACTACCGGACACGATGCACTCCAACGTCAGCGGCTGAGACCGCTGCACCGACACGCTGACGGGGGCCGTGGGGTAAACTATCCGCACAGGGGAGGCGGAGTCTGAATCTGAGGGCAGAGAGAAACCATTTCATTAACAAAAAACAGACACAACATGAAAAAACAAAACACGCCGTCTCACGTTTGGACTTACGCTTGACTGAGAGTTTCGTCCCGTGAGACTGCATGACGGTTTCTCCCGTCACAGGGTTGAAGGCGCCGCATTTGTACATGCCCTGATGGCGGGCTGAGACCGAGACGATCTGGAGGTTTCCAGACGGGAGAACTAAAACGTCATCTGAGGAAAGACGGAAAAAGACAAGAAGGTTAGTGAAGATCGACTCCTGCAGGAACGAGAACGAGGCGCTGAGAAAAACAGGGAGGGAGCGGACGCGTTCGCAGACTCAGCAGTTTTTATCCGTCGACAACCAAAAGAATCTTTTTTTTTGAGAATATTTCATGAGGAAAATTTTGTTTTTTTGTCTTAAAAAGTCGCTCAGTCACTCTTTAACTTTGCTGCGTCTTTCATTCTTCATCGGCTCAGGATCAGGAGAAACGACCATTTCAGCCGACGCATCAAATAAGGTCATGAGAGTGAAACTGACCTGTGGACGCCTCGATCCGCTCTCCTCGTACCCTCAGTCTGGGCAGGGCTGGAGGGACGCTGCGCGGCAGAGGACACTCGATCAGGACGGAGCTTCCTTCCTGCGCCGCCAGCGACCGCCGCCGTCCTTCTTCATATTCTGATATTTCTGCGGCGACAGAGAGAGAGAGAGGAGGCGTGTTCACTCAGACGAACATGTGCAGAGCGTCACAGTCATGAATGAACAGCGAACGGCGAACGGCGCTCCTCCTCGAGTCGAGCTGTTTGTGTTGGATCGGCCCGTTTGTTTATTGTTGCTGTAAGTGATTCTATTCGACCCTGATCCAGATCCAGATCAGGGTCGACCCCTCAGAGCAGCGTCCAACAGCTAGCGGCGTCCCAGCAGGATCATAACAAACTGCACAGGAAGGCTCACGGCTCATTAAGGATACTGGTCAAGAGGCGCTTGGACGGGCGCCCGAGTCAAACCTCCTTCAGCTTCCTTCCTGTCGTCCACTCAGCAGCAGACCGCCGAGGACGCCATTCTTTCAGAGCGTTTGACACTCACATAACGGCCTTCCTCTTCTCCAAGCAGCTTCCTGTCTTTATTTGAAGCTAGTTAAACACACACACACACACACACACACACACACACACACACTCATTCTCTGTATCCGTACCTGCGACAGACACGCGCGCCAGGCGGCTGACGATGGCCGGCCCGTGGTCTAAGCGTGCCACGCACTGATACGCTCCGGCGTGGCTGAGCTTCAGCGAGGAGATGATGAGGGAGTCCTGGTTCAGCTCCACGTCAGGGAGGGCGTCCCGGTCCAGAGGGTGACCTCTGAAACGCCAGGAGACGACGGCCGATGGAGGACTCACCGAGCAGAGCAGACGAGCGACAGAGTTTGGACTCTGAACCAGGGAGGACGGTTCAGAGAGGAAGGACGGGTACTGATCTGGAGAGGACAGGAGCAGAGGACAACCGGGTCAGAACTTTGATTCTTGATTATCTGATTGATTTCTGTTCATGTGATCAATTCTTACAGACAAACAGAGAGAAATATTCGTCTTTGGGTTTTAAAATCGTCCTTTAAAGCTGCTTCAATCATCACTTTAATGTCGGGTACAGAGCAGTAGGGCTGGGCGATAAAGCGAAAATTTACCACAATAACCGACGTCATTTTGTCGGTATCTGTATATTGGATGTCAAAAAACTAAATAAATAAAAGTTGGTTTTGGATGTGTGTAGGTAGGCTATGGTCTCATGTCCCTTTCAGACGCTGTCCTACATCAGAGAGAGCGTTGGGTGGTATGACGGTATAAAAGTGTCTCCTGGTAGAAAAAGAGAGAGATAGCAGATGTCGGCCGCGTCTCTCAGAGTCAGTGTGAAGTTGTCTGCAGGAAAAGCCAGAGCGAATCCGTTAGGGTGTGTTTACATGTTTTCACCAGTGTGTCATACAGAGTTTGTTCTTTACGTCTGATTGGTCAGGTTTGGGTGCGCTCCCTATAATCACCAGCATGTCCAGCAGACTGTTTGGCATAGTTTCAACGACGAAGAAACAGCTTCACTGGTGGTGGTCATGGCGGACGCGGAGATTAGTGGCAGTACAGAGCAAATGGAGGCAGCCTGACCCACCCAACACGGGGAGGAGGAGGAGGAACTGTGACTATGCAATGAGTGTCGTGTGGCTGTCATTGCTGGAGGTGGAAACACCAACAACCTCCTCCACCACCTAAAGATGAAACACGCAAAACTCTATTATGAGAAAGATGCGTGACGCACCTGCTGCACCAAAAACTAAAACTGCAGCAGCTCCTCTCAGACTAAAGAGTCTTTCACCAAAGGAACGCCGTATTATAAACAATCGCAAGACTGGTCTGATGTTTTCTTTACAAATCTGAGTTTAAAAAATAAAAGGAAAATGAACAAATGTGACAGTCTGGTTAATTTAAAGACTGTAACTGTATTTACATACTGTGATAAATAACGTTACCGTGATATGAAATTACTCATAACGTGATATAAGAGTTTGTTCATGTCGCCCAACACTAATCACAGACGTGACTCCGCCCCATCCAGTCAGTAACAAAGAAGTAAAGACAGGTGAGGAGATGGAGGACGGAGAGAAAGTTGTAGCGGCTGAAGTAGACGAAGTTAATGTGGGAGGAGGTGAGCAGCTTGTGGAGTAGTTATCATCCATTTATTGTTATTAATGTGAACTGATCAATATATCATGATATTGATTTGAGGCCGTATCTCCCAGCCCTAATGAAGAGCCGACATCTTTCCTGTCATTTCGTCTGTTTGATTCTGAGACCAGGAGGGACTTACATGAGCAGCTGACGATCAGGGACTGGCTGAGACACAGCACAGTGGACAGGAGGACCCTTAGGCCACTGTCCATGGTGCACTTTGACCCCTGCCAGCAGCCGTGTTGCCCAGCACCCACACCCCGGTCTGATCGGTTCACCTGCGACACACAGAGGAGAGAAAAACCAGGTCAGAGCAGAACATCATGAAACATCCATGAACCCCGTATGACCGTCCCTCTAATCTTCACCACACATCCTCTTTACACACTCCTTGATCTCCGCCCCCCGGCCCGCTCCTCTGACCCCTCCGCTCACCCACTCCAGTGTTTCCACGGAGGCAGGAATGTCCACCCCCCTGCCGCCCCCTCCCACTGAGATCTCCTGCTAATGGAGTGGCCGTGGAGAGACTGTCCCCTCGCTCTTAATATCACTCTCTTGTCACACTGTGTTGCTTCCTCACAGGTTCACTGTAGCCTGAAGTGCAGACCCAGACACACTGGAGGGCTCGTAATTAGGAGCATTCCTCCATCCTTTTCAACCCGACCCCTCCGACTGCGGCACCTCCTCCTCCTTTTCTCTGGGAGTAATCCGGCTGGCTTTGATCCCGGGTTCCTGGTTGGTAACCAGGGTTTGAGCCTGCGGCCGGTTGGGGAGGGGGGACAATGGCCGTCCAGCTGTGATATTCACACGGGCGCTTCGGCGGCTCGCAGACGTGAGCGGAAGGGCTAACCGGGGCTGAAGGGTGGGTCAAATTAAAAGGATGATGTCTGGGTGGGATCAGTGGAGCTGAACGGGTTTCTAATTCTCTAATTTAACCTGAACATTGTTTCATCTGCTCGCCACGGAGCGGGTCAATCCGTTTGGAAAAATCGAGTGTGGAGTCATTTCAGCAACAAGTTATTTTTCATTTCTTCATCCCTCTCTCTTTTCCTTTTTTTTCTCAGAGAAGAGGCAGGAAATAATAAACTCTCTCAGCTCCTGGCTCACGCCCCCTTCTCACCCTGAGGTCAAAGGTCAAAGAAGAGCAGAGAGAGAGGGTGAAGCAGCGGGTGTCTGGTGGCCCTGGACCGGCCCCCAGAGGTCACCTCCGTCTCTCTCTCTCAAACACACATCGAAGACGAGGTTTCACTCCGGAGCTAAAAATGAAACCCTAAAAACACTCGTGTTGTTTCTCAGAGGATCGGGTTTCAAAGTCAGACGTGTAATTCGCCCGTCGACATCACGCGTGTGCACGTTTGCATTTCAGGCTGCAGTCAGAGTGTGAGCGCGCTCATTCAGGCGGAGCAAACCCACATCTTGCAAAGCTAGCGTTTCTCCATCCCACGAGTTGAAACAGGCCCTGCACGCTGCCCCCATGCCATCAGTGGAAACTATCTTTCTCTTTCTGCCGGAATAATGATATATAATTACAATCATAACAACGACGACGGCGGCAGCGGCGGCGGCGCGCTATATAGGAGCCGAGCAGAAACCGGAGCTGATTCAGCCACTTCCTCTGTTTGGATCCACCTTTCTTCTGCTTACCTGCGACTCCCTCACAGCGGGCGTCACAGTCGGGCACCTCGGCCGGGACCTGCTGCTCTTGTGTAAACACACACACACACACACACACACACACACACACACACACACACACTGCCTCCTATCTCAGACATCAATCTGCCGCAACGAGGAAACACACGGGCATCATTCCTGCTCCTTATCTGTTCGTCTTCTCTCTGACATCCGCCACCATGAAGCACCTCAGTGGAGACAGACACCGTGAGGAGATCTTGTATCCCCCATCACATCACAGAGAGACGTCCTCATGCTGGCAGCAGCAGCAGCAGCAGCGGCAGAGGCTGCATGGAAAGACAAGTCCTGAGCCCACAAAAGCTGGAGAGACCCCTCTCAGAGAGAGAACTGGTCCTACAGTATCAGGAACTTCACCGAGGAACAGGGAACCATTTAAAGCTCCAGTAAGGAGTTTTTCTACATTTATAAAACAGGCTTAAATTCATCCTGATGCCTTCCTATGTTGAAGAAGTCGTTTTTACGATTTCCACACAAAATACTTACAATAAAAAAACACATCTGTCTGTTTAAACTCAGCACAGTTCCTCACAGGAGCTTTAAACCTGAGTGTGCATGTTTAAAAGGTCACCGTTATCACATGACCTCTGAGAAATGAGAGGCTGAGATCAGTTACATTTCTGTCATGATGATTTTCAAAACAAGAGCCCTAGGACTCTTCTTATTTTCACACATGCTTTTATTTTGAAGTTTTTTTTCCAGAACAGTAAATTAGTGGATGAAGTCGAGCTGGACCATTAATCGAATTTTAATCATGATTTCAGTTTTGGCCTCTCATGATCATAGAAACATTATAATCGAAGAAAAACAGTACGGTGTGTCTGTAAGTTCCTGTGCTGGAAAAACACCTGAATGCAGCTGCAGCAACATGTGACGTGTGGATCAATAATGTGAGGATCGAGTGATTGAAAATATGGCAGAGAGGCAGCGTTTGGTTGAGAAGAAAGTCGAAACATTTTGGCTTCAAGTTGACGGAGGTCGAGCAAAAGGAAATTGTTTGCTAAGTTTGTCACGCTGTCGTTTCTGCTCCCCAAGGGAACCCGACCAACTTCAGGGTTTTCCCCGATATGCAATTGATCGAGGCGCACCGCCACGGCTAAATACAAGACACCACACCTTAAAAATCAGGGGTTTTTTTATGTATCAGTAAATGCTCATACATGTGCGCCGAGTATTAGCATTATCAAGTTATCGTCATCGATCACAGAGCTGATTAAATTTTTTTTCTTGTTTACTTGTTACTAATTTATTTCTGGCTGTTCCCTTAAGTTATATTTAAAGTTAACTTTTGTTGGTTCAATAAATACTCAAGTTTTGAAATCAATAAATAATGGTGTTTATTAATCATGATTTCAATATCAGTCAAAATAATTGTGATTATTATTTTTGCCGTAATCGTCCAGCCCTTGAATGAAGTAAGTTTGATGGTTGTTTGTTGAATCCTGAGATCTGAAAATAACATCAGGTGAGCTGGAGTCACATATCCTTGTCAGATCTCCTCAAATCTAAAAATCTATTAAAGTTTTTAATATCTGTGTATATTTCATACCGACCACTTGGTGGAGACACCTGAAAAGTTCCTCTAAAGTTCCTTTTGGTTGAATTTCTCCTAAAGTCGATCTGCAGCCCCCTGCCTCCTCCCTCTCCAGACTCCAGACTATACGAGTCAAAGAATGCTCCAGATTTCCTCCTCCTATCCCAAATCTGATCTTATGTTACTCTCTGCTTTTGCACTTACGTCGTGGACAAACGGCCGATCTCAAAGCCGGACCGTCGGCTATAAATTGAAGAGACATCCTGCATTAAAAAACAGACGCTGCAGCCGTTGAAAGCTGATATACAGACAGGGGGACAGTTCATGAAAATAAATGAGCTTAGAGTCAGCGGGTTCAAGTGGAAAAGTTCCTGTCGTTTTGGGTGTGGGGGGGGATGACCTGGAAATTTTTGACTGACACCTGGATTAAGAGTGTGAAGGTAAGAAAAACAGCAGTCTCCTCCTCCAGGAGAGTGTGTCCCTACTTTATCTCTGTGTCTCTGTTTGGTTGTTTGTGTTTTTGGATTTTATCTGTCAGGTTCTGGTCCAGAGGAATCCAGATTTATTTACCCATCTTAGGAGTCCGACGCAGGAATAGCTCCTCGAAGGACAAGAGGGATCCCCGGTGATGACACAGGAGAAAATAAACACACTGACAGGACGCCCTCAGGGAAGGGAAAGGGGTTTGGGTTCTGAGGGGGGTTAGCACCTGCACTTCTCTTCGGCCTCCTCCTCCTCCTCCTCCTCCTCCTCCTCCTCCTCCTCTCTGCAGGAACTACTTAAAGCTCCATCTGCCCGCATGTGGGGCTGGCCCATATCCCTGTCATATTGGGTAAACAGGGACAAAAGCGGCGCGGCGGAGCATCAAAGACCTGGAGGGCAGAGGAGGAACAGGTCGCAACTGGTGCTGCTGACTGACTAAGAGAGGAGGGGGGGGTCTGCTTCAACAAGAGAGCAGCAGCTCCAACACTCAGTGAGTTTACATGCACAGGACTTCTCTCAGACTTCCCAATATCCAAAACCGATCCAATATTACTGTTGAATGAATGAACTGTAAACCTTGCCCTGTGAGTGAAGGCAGCAGGTTCAACATTAGCCTTGTTATAAAGAGATAACAAATTAACACAAATATGAATTTACTTAACAAATAACAAATCAGCACACAGACAAAAGAAGTAAGACTTCCATGTCTTACAAGAAAAAAAAAGATACTGGATCGGCATCATTCATCCGATATCCGATCCGGTAATTTTTCAATATCCGACCCAAATATCAGATCTGTGCATCCCTACATCGTACAGCGTTGTTTTTGTCGTACATGATGGATGCCCTACTTTTTCTGCAGATGAGATGAATGCTACTCCTCTTCTCTGGTGTTTTTGTTGCGGGGTTACGCGCACATGCATCGTCCGATCATACTCCAACTACGCCGATTACATGGTAAAGGAAATAGAATTCCAACTGCCGTATCTGGGTGTCTTAATCAGAGTTCTCAAACTCCGATTATAGCTGGACTAAGGTGTTTACATGACCTTCAGCTGGCCGGTCTTAATCGGAGTAACCGGCAACTTCCTCCTTCATCCTGACCTTCGTATCCTCCGATCGTAGCTGATCGTAACCATTCAAGTTAACGTGTCAATTTCCACCGACTTCTTTCCGTTCCTCTGCAGATCGCCGGACTCCTCAGCTGATCACAAGAGTTCTATTTTTCCGGACGCCGGAGCATGGCGGATAAATTCAGCACAGATTAACCCGTGCTGGAAAGGAAGTCGGGCACAGACACAAAATAAAACATCCGGCTTCTTTTCAAAATAAAACACTCGGAGGCGGAGACGAACAAGTGAAAGGTTTTTAGACGTCATTTCACCCCGATGACACCATGGATGAGGAGATGCTGATTCTAGAAGTCTAGAAGTAGATTTCCTCCTCTGGAAGGACACAATCTACTGCTTGTATGTCTATGTGTCTGTCTTTAGAGAGACAACTTGTTATCGCGCGATTGCACGTGAATCAGCGGGTTCTCATGAGTTCTTGCGATCCCCACGAAATTCGTCTTACAAACGGATCCGGTAGAGACTGGCGTATGGCGAAAACTGCCATTCCCGGGTAACGCAATAATTTGGTTTTCTCGAGTGTCATGTAAACGTTCTGAGTGACTCGATATCATGAGTGATACAAATCCAATAAATCAGAGCGGTTCACCTCTGAAAAAAAGAGCGAGTGTGTGAGGAAGTGATGAAGCTCAGAATGAGAGACGAAGACGTTCAGAGTGAGGGAGCAGCGGGCTGTGAGAGAAAGAGCGAGTCCTCTCTGCCGTGATGGTCTAATCTGACCTGTGCACTGGAGCTGATTCACATGCTATACCTCGAACCTGTCTGCACTCGCCCACATCTCACGGACAGACACACACATTCCTCAGCTACACAGAGAAAGAGAGAGAGAGAGAGAGAGAGAGAGAGAGAGAGAGAGAGAGAGAGAGAGAGAGAGAGGACACACAGGAAGACACACACACACACTCGCTGGAGATGGGAGATAAAAACTCAAAACAAGAAGATGAGAAAAACGAAAGAGGAGCTTTCTGGGAGAGGAGTAAAAGGAGATGGGGGTAAAAAGAGGTGAAACATTCACTGGGAGGTGAGAAGTTGCCAAGATGAGCCTCAGTTCTCCTCCCTCTTTATTTGGCTGGAAGATAAAGACGCACAGATAATGGCTGAGCGTGCATCCAGAGAACCAACACCACTGCCAAATCTGACTGATGATTCAGCTAAGACTGCTTTCACAGCGACCCAGAAACCCGGCGAAGAGCCTCCTGAGAGAAGAGACTCTAGGGGACCATTATGGGCTTCTTCTGTTGGTCTCGGTGAGCCGAGTGAGGCAGCCCGGGGCCACAGAGGAAACTAATGAGTGGAAACAGTGGGCCTCTGGTATGGCCTAACTCTGTCTGATTAAAGACTGAGAAGTTATTAAAAGTGGGACGGAGAGGGGAGGGAGCGAGAGGAGAAGAAAGACGGACATGATTAGGAATCGAATAAGGGAATTAGGAAAGGAGAGAAGTGGAGGAGAGAAGGACAGATCGATAAGAGGAGGACGAGGAAATGAATGCACGTCAGCGCGATTCATCATCGAAAGTAACTCTGACTGCAAGACGGATGAGGTACGCTCTCAAGGACGCGCCGTCTCCCTGAGAGCGAGTCAGCGGGAGGACAGAGCGTAAGCAATCCGGGCGGTGCGGGGTGACGGCGGGGCCAAGCGGGTCCCAGAACCCAGCGACGCCACGGCCCTGACGACACGGCCGTGCTGTGGGATCAGACGAGAAGAGGAATGAAAGGAGAGGCCCCGGGGATCAGACAGTCACATCCCACAAAGCCCTGTTTACCAAGGACACACATACCCCCCCACCACCACCACCTCCTCCTCTCTTCACCTCCTCCTCCCCCCCAATATCTCCCTTCACCAAAGCTCGACCCTCCCCAAGTGCCAGGGCCGGGACCTGGGAGACAGCGCTAATTCTGCCCCCGGGCTGGTTGGCCGAGGACACAAACAGAGAGCTGTAAGACGGGGGGGGGGCGTGAGATTGAGACAGAGTGGGGACTGAATGGTACAGTATGTAAGACCCATCTTAATTGGAGATTGTTCTGCAATGTCTTGTTTTCCTGGGAATCTGTGAGGGGGAGGGACAGGAGGGGAGGGAGGTACGGCTGTTTCCCAAGCTCCTGAACAGCGGGATTAACCACAGGGGCGAAACTCAATAGCGGCCTCGGACACTGGAAACAGATCCCCGGGTATCGCCGCCATACAGGGCCACCTCCAGACCTTTTCCAAAGCGCATGTAACTAACAACCCCGGGCCTTTGTGGGAGCTCTCTGGGCCCTTCCGGCTGATTTCACAGGCCTTTCAGCCCACAGGGGAACGTCTGCTCAGACGCTAAAGGTAATTCTGATGGAAAGGAGGAATGCACAAGAGGGCCGTCCTGCCCTCGGGGTGTGTTAAAACACTGATCTCCAACATGTGCCAAGAGTCTGATTCAACACGCCAGCCGAGAAGAGAGCTGGGATTGTGCAGCTGAGGAAGAGGAGGCCGCGGACTCACATTCCCGAACATCGGCGTTCACCAGAGGGGTGATGGGAAAACAGGTCGATGCAGCTCAGGACAAACGCTAACCGAAGACGATGATCGCCAAACTATTTAACCCTCTAATGAAGTAAAAATGGAGCCAAGACAGATTTGTGAGCGACCCCACGCCATGGTCACCGGGGCGGTTCCTTCCACTTTAGAGCAGAGGATGTGGCGTCCACGGTTTCCCAGGTTCACTCAGACTCAGAGACGTCCCCACATCTCAGATCAGATCATTTAGTTTCCTCTTTTTTGGTTTTGAGCCGATGCAGCGACTTTTAGAGTCATGTCTGTTTATGACCCGAGGATCAGGGTTCAGGCTGCAATTAACGCCTTTTTAATCAGTCGACTTACCAGATAATTATGAAGTTTTTCTTAAATTTAACATAAAGTGGCGATGTTGATCATAATCACTCCCAAACTCTGAAGGTTTTAGTTTTGCCAGCCTCGTGATTTTGTCAATAGATTTAGCGACTCTTCAGATCCCCTAACGACTTATTTTCAAAAAAGCGACAAATCTCAAAACTTTTTCTGGAGTTTAGAAACTTTAACATGAAAGCAGGTATCGACGTTCCTCTTCTCAACGGGTAGCCGGTGTTCATCAAAAACACAGACACACCAGCGCCGCCATGTTTGAATACCCTACCGCTTGGCAAAGACTGTCTTGCACAGGTGTGACTCTCAGCAGAGATCGTAGTGAAGTAAGATGCTTCACTCCACTGGAAAAAAACAAGTCAGGTGACAAAAGTCGACAACGGAATTCATTGTCAACTTTGATCATTATCGATTTTTGTAGACGTCGACCAATCATTGCAGTCCTAATCAGGGTGATCCAGTCCTGGTTCTGGTCCGTGTCTCTTTCCTGCAGTGATTTCCTGAGTATTTTAGAGACATGGTCTCCACTTATTGAGATTGTTGAGCTCTTTGCTCACTCCGTCTCCCACAGAGTTCAACACCTCTTTATCCATCTGTACTCAAATTCGCCTTTTTACTCCTCCAGGTGTTTTTCGTGACTCTTTGATTGTTTGGTCCAAGTTTCTGTTTATATCAAATGTAAATAAAGTATGTACTTCTCCTAAAACAATATAAATGTTCTGTTTTAATAATCCCTGTGTCGTCTTTGCACTAGATTCAGTTAAATATAGGATTTACATGACTTGAAAACCATCTGGATCAGGTTTTTTCTAAACTCTGGGGTTATATTAAGTTTGCCTCTCGCCTTGATAAATCCAGACTCTCTCTGGGGGGGTGGAGCTTTTCTATCAGTGATTTCCTAAATATTTTATAGACATTGTCAGAGTACAGCACCTCGTTTTCCATCTCTGCCTCTTTTTTGCCGTGTCATGTGACTAACCTGTTGTAAACTTGCCTTTTTACTCCTCCACGTGTTTCTTCGTGACCCTTCGATTGTTTGGTCCGACTTTTCTGAAACATGCTGTTGATATAAAACTTAAATAAAACACGTACGTCTCCTAAAACAATATAAATCTTCTGTTTTCATGTTGTCTTTGCACTCGATTCAGTTAAATATAGGATGTTCATGATTTAAAAACCATCTGGATCAGGTTTTTTCTAAACTCTGGGGTTATATTAAGTTTGCCACTCGCCTTGATGAATCCAGACTTTCTCTGTGGGAGTGGAGCTTTTCTATCAGTGATTTTAAAGGCTGCTGTGTGGGCTGTGAACTTTGGGCATGCACGCCGTGATCTGATCCAGCTGTCCCCTCCCTTTTTCTCCCCTGCCTGCCTGGCTGCAGTCTCTCCTCCCTCCCCAGCTCTCCTGGATTCCATCACCGCCTGCGTCTCTACAGCAACAGGCGGCGAAGACGCAGACAACAGTTTCTGTTCAGTCTCTCTCTGATGGGTCGCTGGCTGCCGACCAAAAGGACTTTTAAACTGAAACATATATTCGATAATGTCATTTTAAACATGCAGAACACAAACACATGAACAAATAGGAGCGCGCACCACAGTCTGAGAGTCTTCGGATCGACCTGAAGTTAAAGTTTGAGCAGGTTTCTCTTTGTTTGTCATCCGAGAGGCGTGAGAAAGAAAAGGACTCCCGGTATTTTCATTTCTCATCATGATAAATTGGCCCAGAATGGAGCGGTGGCGGCGCATTACCAGGGGGCCGGATTACAAGACAGAAAAGCTTTGCTTCCGCAGCCAGCGAGTCGAACGAAAACAAACACGCGTAAAACGGTTAAAATATAATTAGTCTTCTTCACCGATTCCACAAATCTCTTGAAGAAACCCAAACAAACAAAGCGGCTCCTCTTGTAGGAGCGAGTCTGAGGACCCGAAGATAAACACACACAGTCCCGGACAGAGTGTGTCAAAGCTTTATTTAGTTTGTCCAAATGTTTATCCGTCTCACCTTCTAACACTCCACGCTTGTTGTGCGGCGATCGAGTGATCACAAAACAAACTCGGCGGTGATACATCAACACACAGAACATCTGAGTTTCCACTTCTGGCTCGTGGTCAAATCCTCCAAACCTCTCCGAGGTTCAGGCTGCTGCAGAGTCGGAGGTGAGAACAGCTTTTGGCGCATGACGCAGCGCTCCGACGGCGCCAAGAATAACAAGCGCATGACAACAGAAACACATACGCAAACTGTGGCGTATGCTGACTGCTGCTCACTGCATTCTTTGTGTAGGTTTGTTTGTCCTGCTACCGTCTGCGCAGACATGACAGTGATTTATTTCACATGTTTGGATCTTTACAAGTGAGAAACTGAGCGAGGGACAACAACGAGCCGACCGTTCCTCTGCTCACTTTGGATATCTCCGATAAATTAAGGGTTTCATCGCTTCCTAAGGAGCAGGGAAGGCCCAAAATGGCACCCACAACCACAGGCCCGGCAGCAGCAGCCTCACACTCTGATCCGGGAGAAAAACAGCCCTTCAAACAAGTAGCCTGTTTGTCAGCCCGAGGGGAGTGCCAGCCACTACTCCTGCCTTAATATAGTCTTGCTGATCCTTGTGCAGGCTTTTCAACAGCGCACACATTCTGGTCCGCAGAAAACCCATGTCAGATGTGACTTATTGGTTCAACATTTGAAATAGAAAGCTGCGGTTGCTCACAGTTTCTCCAAGAAGAAAAAAGTGGAACTCTTGGGGCCCCGCGCTGAGGCGACACACTAAGCCAGGCGTATTTAGTAGGGTCAGTTTCAGGAAGGGAAAAAGAAATGAATCTTGCAAACAGGAAGACGCTGAGGATGCAAAAAAAAAAAGTTCCCCCTGAATGTTCTGAAATACTTCGCTGTGAGAGCTGTCAGCAAGGGTTCGGTTCAGAAGTTCACTCCCTGAAATCTTCCCCTGGGCTGAGGAATCATTAGAAAACTGCAGCAGACAGGCGGTGGAACAATGGCTCTCATCGTGTATTCGCTTGACAACTATGAGGGAAAATGTTGTTTTTGGCGAGAGGCGAGTATCGTGTAAAATGCCACGTCGAAACCCTCCCTGAGGAACTTCATGTTCTCGCTCTTATACATGCAGAGCTCTGCACATACATCCACACCGGCCAAAAACCGGCACTCAGAGGATTAGAGGAACGCAGTTTAATGCAACTTAACCAACTTTAGAAAGAAACAGCTTCAAAGTGAGGAGGACTCCAGAGAGGAAGAGTCTGAGGGGAGGATGGGCAGAGGGTCAGCGGGTCAGAACTCGACACTGTCAGGATAATGAAGAGATTCAGACTCTGAAATATCAACAGTCAGGACAGAAGAGAGAAAACAGGCTGAAGAAGACGAGAGAAAATGATCATAATAGTGTTGAGTCGATAAGACTGACTGTAATTATGCATACTCATCATATTTAAATCAGTGCATGTGCATTAACAGTAGTAGAGGTGATTTTGGGCCAATGCAGCAACTTCCACTACAGAGTCACATCTGTTTAAAGGCTGTCCAAGAATCCGTCCACCGTCTGCTTTTGTCCTTTTGAGAAATCCTTTTCAAAAAAACATAAACTGAATGGAACTGAGTAGGGCTGCAGATTATTTGATTATGACAATATTAAAAAAATTTGAATCATCAAACCGATTTTCTTCTCTATCATGTCTCGCACCTCCAGGCCACCGTAGGCTCCCCAGTTCCCAAACACACCAGTGTAAACAAACATGGTGTTTGCAGGAGAAGGCGATAATTTCGTGGTTAAAAAGGTCAAGAGCGAGTCAGTCGTGTTGAATTGGTACGACAGTTTCAGATGAAGAGCAAACCACTCCCCGCTGTAAAGTCTGTCTGAAAGCGGTATCAACCCGTCACCACGGAAACGCTAAAGTTTTTTGTCGTATCGGCCTTTCAGGTGACTGTAAACGGTACTTTTTAAAAACGGGTCAGAGAGTGAATAAATCTGTAAACGACGACCATTTCATCTCCATGTGGATGTCTATCTGCATCTCTGGAAACGATCATGTGACACACAGAGTAACTCTTTTATGGCGCCAAAACGACCTTTATACGCGCGCTCTGTACTCTTCTTTAGCGTTACAGCGCCACTTACTGTCTTGGCATATTCACTACATCGTTTTCAGTGGTTTCGTTTGAGAGACGATAGAAAGACTTGCTATTAAAGTGAAGTTTGGTGAAGTTGTCACTGAATAAAAAAGTGAAAATCAAGTTTTCAGAGAAAAAAAAAGGATTATATTTTTTGCCGAAATCGTGCAGCCCTAGCACTGCGCTAAAAACAGACATAGCTCTGTGGTGGAAGTCACTGCATGGACTCAAAATCACTTCCAAAAATCACTGTCTGTAAAAACATATATTAAAAAATCTCTGTTCTCTGTCACACTCATGGAGCTCTGCGTCATTTTAAAGGCACATACCGTGTTTTTACACCAGCCAGAAACAGTTCTCCTTCGAGGGATAATGAGAACGCCGTTAACTGCATCTTTACAAACTTTACAGCACAAAACTAAAAAAGGCCTGCAGCTCGACTAACGAAGGATTTTTCACTCACTGGTGTTTTTCTTTAGGCTCTAAAATCTCTGATCCGAGTCTGGAGGAAATAAAAATACAGAAGATCCTCTCAAACTGAGTCCCTCACAAAAACCATCTGCTGTTGGACCATCTTCACTCACTGTACGTCGTGTGTGGTATCGGTTTACATTCCCTTATCATATTGAGAAGGCAGACATATATATTTAGATGAAGCCTGTATTTCCATTACATTAGCAGAAAACAAATCCTCTCCGGAGAAGAAACAGACCTCCTCCTCCTCCTCCTCCTGCTGCTCCTCCTCCTCCTGCTCCTCCTCCTCCTGCTCCTTCTGCGTATCTCCTGACTGTACACTTTGGTCTCGCTGCATTTCAGTGGCTGGCTGCACATCTGTTTCTGCTGCTCCAAAAAACTGTTTGTTTGTCTTAACAATTACGCCCCGATGTTTCTCATTTCATTTCTTCAATCTCTTGAAAGTCATTATCCAGTTTCAGGTCCTTCAAGGTTCTGGATTTTTAGAAACTCAATCCGACCATCTGTTGAGCGCCGCCGTACACGCCGGGCTGCGCTCGCCTCACCTTTGACATTTCAGAGGAGTCGTAGCGCAGGAAGCTAGCTGCCTATCTGTAACCTGCTGGAGTAACATGCTTGCATAGTAAAGCGAGTCAGCGCCGGGCTGTTTGGATCATCTGTCAGAGGAGGGGGGACGTGGAAGGAACGAGGGGGGGGTCCCAGTGGGAAACACATGAGGTTGTGTAGTTAATATAATGACAGTGTGAGCTCAGCGCAGATAAGAAGTGTTACTAATGACAGCTTCATGTAAACACAAGTGACACCTCCAGCTACTGCAGCCTCTGACTTCACGGCTACTCCACCTCGTCCACCTCCACCCCCCCAGGATAAATCTAAGGAGGGACCTTCAGGTTTTTGTGTCGGCGCTGCAGCTGCGGGGCGCTCTCACCAACCAAAAACTCGCTCTCTGACCTGCCCCATCTTTCCTATCCACCCCCATCCGCTCATGGCTGCTGGGTGTCGTCAATCAGCACCCCTGGGCTCCTTGAACATGGGGGCTCTTTGGCACGCCGCCCGACTCTCCCTTCTGTCCATCTAATGAGGCCTGAGCTCCGGCTCCGTCCTTGACGAATGAGAGCTGAAGCTGGCGGAGGTTAAGGGCAGAGTAAAAACGCCGCAGTATGACTCAATCCCTGAGCAATGAGAGGAGAAGGAGAGCTGTCCGTCTGTCCGTCTGTCTGTCTGTCTGTCAGGGGTTCGAGTTTGGGAGTCGACGCTCGGAGGGTCAAACGTCAACCAAACAGCAGTCACTATGTTCGACTTTGTTAACGAAGGAGCTGAAGTGGATTAGATTAAGAAAAAGAGTCAGACTTCATTTAAACTGTCAAAATATTGAGATTTTTAAGACAAATTAAGTCATTTTTGAAATCCACTTCTGGATCCTCTGGAGCGAGAAAAGATGAAACCAAATAAACACTTCGATGAACTTCTTATTTAATCTCAAGGTTTCCTGTTTTACTCACAGAAGGAGAAATATTCTGTATACTGAAGTCGTCCATGCAGACACTCCCTCCTCAGATCAGTTATTGATTCGTCAGTTTCTTTAATAATTGAAGAGAAGGACGGCTAACTTATAAACTTTTAAAACCGTTTTGTTTGTTTGTGGATTTCTGGTTGTTAGGTGAGAAAACAGCAAAAAGAGGACAGTCAGAGTGAGACCTTTGAATCCAAAAGCACAGACTGGTAACAGTAAAAGCAGCTTTTTCTATCATTTTAGAGCTGCAAACAAAAAATAAAAAACTCATGTTAACATCATTTAATAACTTTTCTAAAACTTTGAAGGAGTTTTAAAAATCTTTAAGTCAGTATTTCCCGTTGAAACTGTAAAGTATCGTGTTGTACTTCACTACACTTTGCATTAAAAAGTAAAATAAATGCAGAAAGTGAACAACAGCCGGCTCACTGTCTGCCAAACATCTCATTCAGCTTCATTTTGGACACACTGACATGACAGGCCAAATATTTATCTAATTTTTAAGACATTTCAAGCTCAAATTATCTTGAACTTGTTGAATTTTTCTCATTTTCAATCTTTGCACTCGAGTAACTCCTTATTTTTAACTCCTAATAACAAACTTCTCAGCATCCACAGAGTGCCGAAACTGTCAAAACTGAGAAAAGATGCTGCAGAAATACTCAGAAACTTGTCAGAACCACTTTACAGATCAATATTGAAATCCTGGGAGCGTATCTTTGATTCGAACCCCTGATCAATCCGGCTCCCACCTCTCACTCTCACTCTCAGTATCACTATGGAAACACAGGGGTCCCCTCAGCGGCTCCTTTCATTGGCCTTTTTAGCTGGTCGTGTGATTATAATTCTGCATCAGAGAAATCAAGGGAGCCATTATGAGAGCGGGGCTGCTATCATTACACATGCTTACATTCAAATTGCCCACTTAACATAGTTCTCCTACAGCAACATGTGTTTATCATTAGGCTGCACACTAATGGCTCAAACATTATTCCTGCTCTCTTAATGGCAGAGCTGTGCTTTGTTCGGCTCGGCCTGATAAGAGCTCGGCCACTAATGGTTTATTAATTTCCTTAGCAGACCCAGAAACAGGCTGTGAGAAGAAACTAAAGGACTCGGAGCCTCTCTGTGTGTCTGATCCAATCACACACTCAAAAAAAAAAACACAATTCACTCCAGCTAAAAATACTCCACAGGTCCTCGATGCTGCTGGTGAAGATAAGGGGAATGATTTTATGTCCTGGTCCTCCAAAAGTGAAAGGATGAGAGAAGAGAAAGAGAGGAGGAGGAAATGAAGTTAAAAAAGTAAAAAACTCTTCGACTTTCTGCTCCAGAGAAAACGCCACAAAGAGCAAATCTCTCTCTGCTGGTGTCAAAAGCTCACCCTGATATTAAAGAGCACTGAAAGGATCTGAAAGGCATCGGAAGTGTCTTCTTGTCCCCCACCGCGGCAACAATACGCCAGCAACTGTTTGAACTTGGAAGTGTTTTCTCTGGGAGCAGCCATGTGTGTCCCTCTGACTGGATGTCATGCATTGGAGAGGGGTTCAGGACTTTGTTCTTGATAACTTTTAAGTGTTCAGTTTGGTGAGGGTCACCCCTATGTAACGAGAGTCGCTGTGAGGCCGTGATGATGAGGATGATGATAGGGGTGAAGAAGAGCAGACAGAGGAAATGACTCGTCTCTGCAGCCGCATTGTTACTACCTTACATTATCACTCTGATTCAAAGCCTGTCTTTAAATCTTTGACTAAAAATCAGTGAGTGCACCGTGAACTTTTAAACATTCAAACAACAAAAAAGCAAATTCAGACCCACTTATATCCTCAAGTTTGCTCTTAAAAGAAAGAATCACGCCTAAACACCGAGTCTAAAAACTCAAAGAAAAGTAAGTTTGGAGTTGTCATCCTCAAAGTTCCTGAAGTGCAGCGGTGCAGATCACAACACCGAGAGAGCAGAGAGAGATAAGCTCAGGTACACACTCGCTCACTCGCTGCTCGGACACATTTATCCGTTTTGTCTCATTTTTAACAAAGAAGAGAAATTAAACAAAAATAAACTCCAGGTTTTGAAGTTCGCCCTCGGCCTCTTCCTCACAGTCAGGCGGTCGACCTCTTCATGCTCTGCTCAGTGTTTGTTCACTCGCCAAATTAAAGAGCTCACATGGATTTACCAAACCAACTTTTATGACACCCTTGGGGTTGATCTAAAACAATAAAGACCCTATGTCTCTGGAAGAGGAGGAAAATCCACGTCCTCAAATATTAGTTTAAGCCACCATGTTTCTGCTCAGAGGTGAGTGTGGCAGACAGCTGCCCCCCCAAAACCATGATCTATAATACCAACTTAAAAGCAGCACAAAGCCGTGTTTGACTTTGGACCATTTTCACCCTTTATGACTTTGACATGAGTGTGTCAAAGGAGGGACATATTTGCCATTTCTAAAAATGCGTCTTTCATCCCCCCCAGAGCAGAAAAGGAGGCCGCGGGACATCTGTTTTCAGCCGGGGAAGTGTCTCTGCCCTCCAGAGATGTTTGCCAAACAAATATTTATGCCTTTATTTGTGTCCTGCTCACCTCAAAGACCGCAGAGCTGCACAAACATGACGGAGAACTGGATATACAATCTGAGAGTTTCATCAGAATATAACAGGAGAGTTTGAACAAATAAGTGAACAATGATCAACCAGAGAGAAAGTCAACAAAGTCCAAACTGACTTTAGGGAGGTTTTAAAAACAGAATTTATGACCAAGAACAGAAGGAAAGACTTAGACTAGAGAGTAAATTCAGTTGTAGGAAGAGTCACTGGTGTGTAAAGTTAATTTATGGATAAACAGACTTTATAATAGAAGTGTATAGTAGTGGTAGTAGTAGTAGTAGTAGTAGTAGTAGTAGTAGTACACGGGCGCCCCCGTTAGCAGCCTGAACTCACAGCCGGAGTTGCTGCTCCTCTGCCCCGCTGCTCTCTCCACTCTCACTCCGCCTCAAAGTTTGATCAAACCCGCTAATGTCACTGAAACTCACTAAACCTGCAGCCTGGACCTCCACGCAGCTCTTAAAAACACCTTTTCTCTCTTATTTCCACACTAACTAAAGCTTTTCCCCGCTGTTCTCCCTCCCAGCCAGGCAGCCAGCCGGGCCGGGGCTCCCCTCTGCCTCCCCTCCGTCCCTCCTTACCTCTCTCACAGGAGGGCAAAAGCTGCGAGCCGTGGGCTGGATCACCAGAAAAACACATTCTTCTTCTGGAGGCAAATCCGTACGGGGCCCTCCATTAGACCCGGGCTCGACAGGAGGAACATGAACACGGCCGGAGGAGGTGAAGAGGAGGGGGAAAAGAGAGTTTTCAGACCCGAGCGGCGGCGCAGAATTCGGGGCCAAGGTGCGACAACTCCCCCCGGTCTGAACTCGAGTGGAGGTGCCTGAGAGTTTTCCCCACGGAAGTTTTCAGTCCGCGTGTTTGTTTGAAAGCCTTACGTCCCGTCTTTGCGCGCTCCTGGTCTCTGTGTGATACTGCGTAAAGCCCGTTAGTGGAAGTTGTCGGTCCGTGGACTCTGCCTCAGACTCTCCACACTCATCTTTGAAGCTCAGTGTCGAATTGCTCAGCAAATCATGGCAGCGGCGGAGCTGGTCGTCAAACCAGGAATGTCCCAGCCCCACAGCTCAATACGGCTCCTGGAGAGGGAGGGAGGGAGGGAGGGAGAGAGAGGGAGAGAGGAGGGGTGTTACCCTTATAGACTGTGCATTAACAAGTTTTACAATCTAACCAGGAGAAGAAAGAAAAAACTTTCTACTTCCTCCTTCCAGAAAACTCACATGAGGGACGAACCAGGTGAAGGTAAACCCACCTGAACAGGTCTGATGTTCAGAGCAGATGTGATGAGACACAACTGGACAAAGGATTGTTTGGATAAAACTAAACAAAGTGAAAACTGTTGTTCAAGATAATCGTGTCAAAAGTGCAGAACAACTTTAAAGTGAATATTATTAAATAATGCAAAACTAAAAGTCCCCAAAGGTCCCTCCCACTTTTATTAGACCTCATTTCAAACTAGACGTTGCACTTTAACCCATTAATCCATTAATTAATAACTATTTATCCCAAAAAGCAGCTGTGAGTTACATAACTGATCTCAAAGTACTTAACCATAATAATTATGATAATCGTTAAGCAATATACAGAGTAGTATAGTATAGTATAGCCAGGATGCCCACCACCAGTGAGTGACCATTGGATGGTCACCACATTTTGCAATGCTCTATGGGAAATTTTGAGTCGCCTATATGGGGCGTTAGAATTGATCACTGAGGTTTCAGACACCCCTCAAAATGGCGCTAACCCCAATATAGTCGCCTATATAAGGGTTAGGGGTCCATTTCAAACACAGTCATGTTGTTTCAGAAGGATAATGTTTGTTAATTTTGCCCACAGTTCACCTTTTAACCTGACGAAGTTACTATGCTGTGCACACAAGTTACTTTTCATCCTGTTATTATAAAATTATCATCTTGTGCGCACAAGATATCATCCAAGACGCACGAGTTCATATCTTTCTAATTATGCTGTGTGAAGTTAAACTGTTTGGTTCAGCATAATTATGTTATGAAAACAAGATATTATCATGTGGGAGCAAGTTATTTGATTTTATGCTGACAACATTATGACTCGTTTCTGCAAGATAATCCTGTTGTGTCCTCAGTTAACTTACTTCTGAGATTGAGTGTCAATATCTTGTGTTCACAATAAATATCTTGATGTTTAAGAAGAATAAAGTGAGTTAATTTTACCCACAATGAAACTTTTAACCCAATAAAGTTACTATACTGTGCACACAAGTTACTTCTCATCTTGTGCATATATGTTATCATGAGTTACTGTTGAATCTTGTGCACAATAGTCTTGACAAGATAATGATGTTGTGTGCAGTTTACCTGTTTGCACGCAGATGTTGTTTAATGCACAAGATTGTAGCTTGTTAACACATGATTATTATCTATTGCACATGTTAATATTTCTGAGCTTTTTAGGACGGGGATGGAGTCTTTATTTTCAGCTTTAGTTGGTCAGCAATTAAAAATATCTCACTCCAGAGACTTCAGATAAATTTAAAATAAAGAAAATAAACTTTATTCAGAGAGTAAATCTTTACTGTCAGACTTGGACGGTTTCAGTCTCCATCAGAACAGCCTCAAACCCACAGATCCGGTTCCTTCTTTTCACACTGATCCTTGTAGATGAAACCTGCTCTCAGTGGGTCCATTGAACAGAATACAGTTCTGTGGTGGTGGTGGTGGTGGGGGGGGGGTTGGACAGCTAATAGCTCTGGGTCACCTCTGGCAGCAGACCTGTTGGTTGGACGGTCTGCGTGTTGGTTGGCTGCAGCTATTTCCTCATCATCATCATCTGGAGAGGAGGGGCAGAGTTAGCTAACAGTCATCTGTTGTGAGGATGTCTGTGAGTAAACAGTCGAATCATCTCTGAGGCTGTAATTATGTGCTCCGGCGTTGGCTGGGCGAAGGCGGGGGGTCGAGGTGGCAGCGGCGGCGGTGGCGGCGGGCCCACCCTGCTTCAGACAGCAGGTGCAGCTCAGTATCTGACAGCTGACTCTGCGATGGAAGGTGTGATCCAATCCTCTGGAGGCCGAGTCGACCCAGAGCCAGCCTTCAGGCAGTCAGAGCCAAAATCAACAAACCAGTAAACCTCTGACATGGAGGGAGAGAGGGAAAACAACATGGAGGAGGATGAAGGACGGATGAGACGGACAGAGAAGAGTCTTTTCTTCTTCTTCTTAACTCTGTCTGAATGTCAGAAAAGCTGAAATATATGATTAAACTTATGAAATAAATCACTTACAGGTCCATTCTTGGAGCATCAGAGAGACTCCTGCAGCCTCTTCCTCCTCCTCCCATCATGCATCTGGACCAAACTGCATCATGAGAGTTATTCTTGTCGCTCCTGTAAAGTGGCTTTTCCATTTTTTATTTGACTCAGAGTCTCGGGCTGCAGATTTGATGGATGATTGTGCAGGAGGACGCCTTTATGAATGATTTACTCACATGTAGAACTGCAGGCGGAGAATAGATTTTTTAACAGCCTGGAAATCCAAAAGTTATCACCATTTTTTTTGTTCGTTATTGCAGCTCTAAAAAGTGAAACTATATGATGAATTGGTCGGTGATAACTGCAATGATCCGTAAGCCATAAATTCTTGATAAAGTTTTTCTCACATCGTCATCTTTAATGCATGCGATTCATTTTTTTCATCTTAGCGATGGCCATTTGTGTCCCAGGGTCAGGAGCTGGTTGGAGATGGAGACGGAGGCTCCGAGTTCAGAGGGGGGTGAGCGGGGTGATTGGACACAGTCGCATGTGAAAGGCCAGAGAGCGGCGAGTCCGCAGGGAGCAGGGTCCGCACACAAAAGGCCAGGGGGCGGGGGGCCGGGTGGGGGGCTGGAGGAGCGGCCGAGGAGGAGAGGCCACGCTGGGAACCAAAGCTGACAGCACAGACACTTCTCATCCACTCAGGGCCGGGCTGTCTCTGGCCCCCTGGGGTCCACACTCACTTATCTGCCAGCGCTGCACTGTTGAGCTTCAGCGAGAGAAGAGAGGCAGCGAAAACACAAAGCAGTGATGACCTCTGACCCACATCCAACCAATAAGAGGCTTGTTTGATCAGATATCAATACATTACAAGGTTACTCATTGATGACTGTGCAGAGAGGCGAAAAACAACAACAATCAGTGACTCTCATCATGTGATCACCGTGTTTACAGGCGAGGGGACCTGCTAACAGGGGCTGAGATTGTTTGGAGTTGGTCCCTTCGGCTTGCCGTCTTTTGCTCTGAGGATAATCAGCCTCTGACCACTGTCAACAAAGTGTTTATGACCTGCGAAGGAGCCCCAGGTTGTGTTGACTCTGTCAGCAGGGGCCTGAGGGACGCCGGACTCCCAGTGCTATTAAAAGGCACTTTGAGATAAGAGGAGGACCATCCCTCTGTTTGAGCTCCATTGTCAGGCGTCAGACGGTCACTTACAGGCGGATGTTCAGAGTAAAAGTCGGAGGTGGAGTTTCCTAATCAAGCGCTTTATTTTTCTAATCAGGACTTTTTTCCTCTGGACATTTTTATAAGACAAGGAAAACTTTGTCAGAGTGAAGAAATATATACGAGAGTGAGAAAAATCACAATATTTTACAGCGGGGGCTAAATGGATTTCCCCTTAGAGGGCTGTATATCTTCTGGTTGGACAGGTGTGTGCAGAGAGTGAGGATGTGTGTGTCTATCTGGAAGTGTGTGTGTGTGTGTTCATGTACGCGTTAAAAAAAAAGAGAGAGAATGAGAAATCTGAAGGCACCCCTCTCCTCCATCTGGTTTCTGCATCACTGTGGTGGGATCACATTATCCATCCAGGGCTCTCTGGGAATTTCATCAGTCTGTAACATCTCACTTATTCACACGTCTCCGTGGACTTCACCATGTAGAGTGATCCTGAGTGTCCCTCCTGACTCCGCAGTGACCCTCTGCATCCTCAGACCGTCTTTAAAGCTCTCTGTGAGAACGACACAGGGCATAAAACTGTCCAAACTCAGGGTTTTAACTCTGTCACTGTCGTGCCAAACTTTTCCGTAGTTCACAAATACCTGTACACTCACATAAATCCAGCTTTCCTACAGGGACGTAACGAGACAGGCCAAGGAAAGAAACATAAGTATAAATGGCAGTAATGGAGTACGCCAAAAACAGTGAAAGTGAATAAAGAAGAAGGATGCAGAGGTGGAAAAACACCAAAACAAAATTGGCAAGCGCACCAGGAGAACTAGAACTAGTTTATACAATCCAGAACCTCAGCTGTCGAAGTGTCGTATGTTAAAATTTGAGTTTTTGTGAGCCTCGTTGTTAAAGCAGTCAGAGAGGAAGTGGTTGGCACAAACAAACAGATTAGCGCTAACATGTCGGAAGTCCCTCAGGTGTGGCTCTCACCTTTGACATCTCAACTCGACAAGAAAGTAGGAGTAATGCTGCCTTTCTGTTACCTCGGAAGTTGAATGTCGGAGCTGGGAATGACGCTACACCCTGGTTGACGGCATTCTGGTAAACAAGTCGGAAAAACAAGATGGGCGCCAACTGTTGTAACTTTTCGCCACTGTTAGCTGTTTTTAGCGATACCAGTTGAAAACAGCACATAATAAGGTACTTCTCCCATACAAACAACACAGCACTGTGTTCACAGTTATGCTGCGTTGGAGTTTCCTCGGAGAGCAGATGTCGGAACTGGAAATGACGTCACACCAGAGTTACCAGCGTTTCAGTTACCAAGTCGGAAAAACGCTAAATCGAAGGTGGACAGAAGTGCTAATAAACAAGACATTACGAGAGCTTTTTACTATTGATGCACTGCGCTGCCATCTTGTATTTTGAGGTTGTCGTCAAGTTTGGGTTGGTGAGGATCGTCCAACTTTCCGAGTCCAAAATTCCATAAATTAATTTCCGACTGGGAACTCGGAAAATCCAACTTCCAATTAAAACTAGAATGAAACATAAACTTTAATGAACCACTCAGAGACGGGCAACTCTTCAACAGCTGCTTTTTCCTGTTCGGGTTAGATTCAGGACCGTACCTGTAGCGTACTAGCGCAGGTTCTCCTG